AAGCTGTCATATGAAACAATTCATGAAAATAATCTTATTACAAAGATATTTAATAAGTAAAATAGTGATTTAGGAATCGACATTGTGATTATTAAGATTGCTAAAGATAAGCAATAAGGAATTAAGTTTTTCTAATAATACTAATTTAAAAACAATTAATGGCGTTGAAAAGGCTAAAGGCGTGGTAACACTTAATGTAACAATTTTTAATGTTGAGAAAAACATGGATGTCCTTGTAATAGACAAGGAAAATTTCGATTACGATTTTTAATTTGACTAGATTGTATAAAAAAGTTTTGCTTAATCCAAAATGAAAACTTAGAAATACATCAGAAAGTTCCTATACAAAGAAGTGAAATAGTTTCTAAGGAAACAAATAAAACAGATATTGATATTTCTAAGGAAATAAAATCTGATAACTTCAAAATTTGTATAAATCATCTAGACTATCAAAAACAAGCAGTAATTGATGACTTGATATTGAACAATAAATCTGTTTTTGCAAAGGACAAATATGACAACGGAACGGTAACGGATTATGAAGCACATATTGATCTGATAGTAGAAAAATATTGCAGTAAAAGGCCATATCGTTGCACCATTGAAGATAAAAAGGAGATAGAAAATCAGATTGCGAAATTGTTGTAAAAAAATATAATAGAAGAATCATATAGTCCGTTTGCAGCCCCAGTTACATTAGCTTATAAAAGAGAAGAAAATAAAAAAATCAAGACTGTGCATAGATTTTCGTGACTTAAATAAAGTTGTTGTTCCGCAGTCACAGCCGTTTCCACTTATTGAAGACCTAATAGTAAAAACAAGAGATTGCAAATTTTTCTCAACATTGGACCTGAATTCAGCATTTTAGTCAATACCTCTGCGTGTCACAGACAGATACAAAAACTGCATTCATCACACAGGAAGGTCACTTTCAATGGACTTGTTTACCATTCGGCCTAAAACCCTCGCCAGCAGTATTCCAGAGAATAAAGTGTAATGTTATACGAAAACATAAGCTCGGAGAATTCACCGTAAGTTACATCGACGACATCTTGTTGTTCTCATAAACTTTCTCAGAACATATCGGGCATTTAAAACAGTTATTTCAAGCAATTAAAAGTGAAGGTTTTAGACTGAAATTTTCTAAATGCACATTTGCAGCAGACTCAGTTAAATACCTGGGCCACATAATACAGAATAATTCAGTTAGACCTCTAAAAGACAACTTGATATCAATAAAAAAACTTCCCTACTCCAAAATCGCAAAAAAAAATGTGAGACAATTTTAAGGAAAAATAAACTTTTATCACAAGTATGTGCCAAACATAGCAATAAAATTAGAACCATTGCATAACCTTTTGAGAAAAGGACATCTTTAACTGGACTAAGGAATGCCAAGAGTCATTTGATGAGATGAAAGAAATATTATGCTCTCAACCAATATTAACCATTTTTGATCATAACTTGCCAATTCACATATACACAGATGCCAGTATACTGGGAGTAGGAGCAGTCTTAAAACAGCCACAAGAAAACAAAGAAGAGAAACCAGTAGCATATTTTTCAAAAAAATTGAACGAAGTTCAAAAAAGGAAAAAAGCTATATATCTGGAATACTTAGCAATTAAAGAATGTGTAAAGTATTGGCAACATATGTTGATAGGTAGGAAATTCACTGTCTTCTCCGATCACAAGCCTTTGGAAAATATGAATATAAAGTCAAGAACGGATGAAGAATTAGGAGATTTAACATACTACCTATCACAATATGATTTCCAAATTAAATACTCTCCAGGAAGATATAACATTGAAGCTGATTGTCTAAGCAGAAATCCAGTCTTAGAACCAAATGAAAACCTGGATGAACAATTAAAAGTGGTTAACATGATTAAACTAGAAGATATCCTAAAAGATCAAGTTAACAATAGAAATATACAGTCCATAAAAGAAAAATTGTTGAAAAAAAATAATGTTTATTATAAGAAAGTTAAGAAAAGGGAAAAAATAATTCTATCAGAGAAATTTGGTATAGGATTAATCAAAAGTGTACATACAAATCTAGGTCATTTAGGACTTAATCAAATGCAAAGAATGATTAGCTCATTGTATACAGCAGAAAATATGACAAAAAACATAAAAAGTATCTGCGAAAGTTGTATAGTATGTATAAAGAATAAGTCCAGAGGACAAAATAAATATGGATTGATGTCCCAATTGGGCCCCGCTACAAAACCTTTTGAGATATGTTCAATTGATACCATTGGAGGCTCTGGGAGTTCAAGGTCGACAAAGAGATACTTGCACCTGCTATCAGATCATTTCACTAGGTACGCATACACTTCAACATCAAGTACTCAAAATGCAAATGATTTCATCAAACTAGTGAAAAACTGTGCAGAAACAGACGATATCGGCATGATTCTCTCAGACCAATATCCAGGTATAAATTCTAAGGAATTCAAAAGATTTTTGGATGAAAAGAATATTCCAATAATTTTTACTGCAGTGAATTCGATCTTCTCAAATGGTTTAAACGAAAGAATATTTTTATCTTCTCTGGGAGGGGGAGATGTAAAGAAAAATATTATTTTCTTTTATTTAAATATTTTCTTTAATTTAAATATTTTCGCGCACCGGCCGTTGATAAAAATTATTTTAAAAAGTATGTTTGACGCCGGATTATAACAGAAAAAGAATTAAGCTGTCATATGAAACAATTCATGAAAATAATCTTATTACAAAGATATTTAATAAGTAAAATAGTGATTTAGGAATCGACATTGTGATTATTAACATTAAATGTCGTTTCTTTAATTACAGGTAAAGTTTTAATAGTAAAATCTTTTATTTTTGTAATTTTAATTATTATTTGTTATAGTTTCAAAATCTTACAATAAATCTTTAATTACAGAGAAACTCAATTGTGTTTTGATTGCTGTGTCATCCTAATCACTGAAAAATATTCTTATATATATTTATAAAGCGAGGTATTATTTGGGCGATTAATAATAATAATATCTTCTTCACATATAATAATATAAATGTCTTAGTTACGTTTCAAAGTTAGTTGCTCTTTGACTTGAAAAGGTAATATTTGAAGATATTTGGCTACTTTTTCCTTCCGAATTTCTATGGCTCTTCTGAAGCTAGCGTTTTCCTGCATCTATTGTTTTTTTTTCGTTGAATATGAACAATCAACAATTGATTTCCCTTCTTTTTATCAGCACTCTGCTCTTCCAGTCAATGCTTTATTATGCAGTTCATACGTTTGGTTAATATATCATCTTAACAACCGTTATTAACAAAAACTCTATCTCTATCTCCAATCGTATGGTCTGATTTGATCCACGGAATCTTTTATAACATAAATAATTCCGGTTCACTCTTGTCTTCGATAAAAATTTTTAGAAGTTTATCTCTTCAGGTTAGGCTAAATACACACTCTACATCTGTAAACATAAAAAAACAGTTTTATCATATCAAGGAAAGATGCTAAAAATAATGCTAAATGCCAAAATGAATTTGCTAAATCACGGAAAATATTGCCAAATTTAGCCATAAAAATGCAAAATTGACAGCACTGCCGGTGTCGGGATCAGAACAATTTAACGTTTAAAATTGCATGTTTTGAGGATTCCCCAGGCCGCGGCGTTTATATTTTCCCGAATAGACGGGTCTTTTGTTCGCGGACAACGAAATGTGCTCAGGAAAACAGTTACCGCGAATGAACGAATTTGTAAATAGAGAAGACACGAATACCGGGGAGCAGTGTACAGTGGTGGATCACTGTCCATTTTTTTAAAAAAAATACAGGCTGATAAACTATCGTTAAATGTTTAAGTTGCATTAACGATTGTGCGAGTGATAATTATGTCTGAGCGATTAATGAGAATCATTAGCGTCGATTATTCATCATCATTACTTGGACGGCAAAAATAATACAGAATTGAGGCATACCTTGTACCTACATGTATGAAAATTCGAAGTTATAAATATAGGATTCGTTTCGGTCGTTTCGATTTATTTTAAATTGGAACTATTCGTGTATCGTTCTATATTATTATTATTATGAATATTAACGTTTACATAAGTTCATTACAAAAACATTTTCTACATAGAGAATTCATAAGAATTCTTCTTTCTTGCTTTATGGCTTCTCTTTAAAGAATTCTGCCAATGTCAAGTCTGTAAACACTTATTCTTTGAATGGATGACTTATTTTTTTTTCGTATTATATGTATGGAAGGCCTCAAATTTAAAATTTGCATCTGTATCTATAATATTCACGACTCGCCATAAATTATTAGTTAAAACGAAGTGTTTTTCCCTTTTTGGTTGATGATAATAACGTAAACCATTATAATAAACTCACAGTTCAACAAGCTTTCTCCCTTCTTCCATTTCCTGACTCATACGACGGCACATGTGCGCTAGGAGAACCAGCCTCTCCATCCGTTACGGTTGTAGTTGCAGTCTGTGTCACGCTTTAAATTACCTTATTTTCTATTCCATTTCGCATTTTTACTGGCTGCTAACAAGACGGTGGTGGTAAATTGGTCCCGATCACATACGCCGCTCACGTTCCGTATTACATTTCCGGAAACTTAGACATATTAAATGATACAAGAAGCATTTACTACACACCACCTAACCAAATTAATTTACAAATTTTACCGAGATCAATTTGTTTTGAAAGTTCAAATTTTTAAAACAAATTACGCGATAAATCCGTAAACGTAAACTGAGATTAAATAACGCTGCACAAAATCAAGACGAATTAGTAATTTACTTTTGGCTGTTTAACTAGTTGCATCAACATCTGGTTCTAATAAAATTTCGGATGCGGGCGGCAGCAAATTAGATATCACAGAAAACTATCACAAAATGTCACAATAAGCTAAATATTTAGTGGTTTACAAAAATCGGAGACAAATGGAAGCGAAGTCGCTTTTTTAATTGGAAGGAATTTGAGCCTCCTAATCCATTCGTTGCAATTACTATTTTATGTGGTGGCTCGGCAAGGCTGTAGCATAGGAGAGGGCGTCCATCTGATCCGCGTCGGCGTCCGCGTCCGCGTCGGCGCCGTAGAGCGCGGCCATGAGCAGCGCCTGTGCGGGCGCCAGGAACACGGCCGGCAGCCGCGCCGGCCCCGACGCCATGCAGCCGGCGCGCGCCTCCCACCCTGCCGAGCGCCTCAGTGCCTTAGTGCCTCGGTGCCTCAGCGCCTCAGTGCCTCAGCGCCTCAGCGCCTCAGTGGCCGCGCACTGCACTGACCGAGGCCCGGCGCCTTGGGCACGGCGGCGAGCGCCAGCGCGCGGCTCTCGCACCGGCTCAGCAGCCCGAAGTGCGCGTACAGGGAGCTCAGCGCCAGCGCCAGCGAAACGCCGCTCACCTCTGCGAAGGCGCCGCAAAGCGTACATTACTAGACTAAATTTATAAAGAAGATGTTTCATATCTACGCGTACGAGGGGATGAGCTAAAAATGACGTAGCAGCCGAATAAGAATACAGTGAATACCTAAGAATACCTAAGAATAAAGTGGCCATGACGTCGGTGACGTAGAGGGCGCCCTCCGCGTCGCGCAGCAGGGCGCAACAGTCCACGTAGAGCAGCAGCAGCGCCAAGAGGCGGGGCGCGGCGCCGCCGCCGCGGGGCGCCCCGCCGCCCGCCCGCCGCCACCAGCCCAGCGCGAAGGGCCCCGCGGTGCCGCACGCAGTCCACAGCACGCTGCTCGGCGGCGGCCACGACGCCTGTCCGCACTACTCTCGCCTTTCTTTATTTACTTAATACACATTTCGAACAGTTTAAATGAAACTATACAACGGTCGGTTTTTTGGGGCCCAACGTCAGAGTCAACCCGAGCGTGTTTCGTACTGGTCCTGTGCACTCACGAAAAACTTGAGGGCGAGCGGCACGGCGACCAGGGAGAGCGCGTAGTTGAGGGCGGCGAGGGCGGGGGCGGCGGGGGAGGAGCCCCGCCGCAGCGCCAGCGCCAGCCCGCCGCAGGGGCCGCGGGAGCGAGCCACCAGCGCCCTGCTTAGCGATTACGAATGTTCCATAATCAGCTTTTTAATTAAAACATTCTAATTCAGACTTAGGCATTATATATCCGCACCCAAGGAAGAAAATATTTAGAGAGATCGACTTTCAAGGGGGCTAAAATTTTAAACTGATTTTGTTTTTTTTTAACTGCAATATAGAATATTATTACTTCTTATCCAGCTTTTACTTATAGGAACTTTTTATCTTTAAAATAATTTGAAGATAACTTAAAAAAAATCTTAAAGCACATTTTAGAAAAGCAATCTAATAACAGATTTTTACCTATGCAATTGCCGTTCTTTTTAGTACTGGCCATTTCAAACAACAACAAAAAAGTTTTGATTGGCTGTGAATGTGAATGTTTGACGACCCAATTGGCGTGGGGAGTAGTGACCCTGCCTCTTGCGCCAGAGGGTGTGGGTTCGATCCCCACTACTGGAAAAATATTGTGTGATGAACATAGTGTTTTTCCAGTGTGTTCTGGGTGTTTTTATATGTATAATGTGTATTTATTTACAAAAAAAGTATGTTTAAGTATGTTTATCGGTTTTCTAGTACCCATAGTACAAGCCTTGCTTAGTTTGGGACTAGAGAATGTTGTGTAAAAAAAAAAGTGTCCGAAATGTGTGAATTGCAAATTCAATTTAATTTAGTTTTAAAAACAGGATATTCTTTTTACAAAGTCAGTCTTTTGTTTATTAATTAGCTTTCTATTTTCGTAACATTTGAAAATTTTTCGTCATAATGGATACTTTAAAAATTCGTGTTGTTATGGAAAATGAGTTCCGACTTACATCAACAACATAACATTAACAACGTCTACGAAGAAAACTTTACAAACTAAGGCAAAACCCGTCACTGGTTTGCCCGGTTCCGTTCTGGAAATTTTGACTTGAAAAATGATACTGATTGTCGTCCGGTCACTTAGATCAACAATGATGAATTAAAGGCGTTCGTGGAAGCTGATGATACTCAATCTACAGTGGAGCTAGCAGCAGCTTTTGACGTTAGCATCAAAACAATATTGGTTTATTTGCGACAAATTGACAAAGTAAAAAATCATGATAGATAATTGCGCAAAGAACTTCACGTTACATTTTCTAAACAATTCATTCATGTATTAATATATAATCGAATAAAATATTCTCGATTGAAGATGCTGAAATACAATTGGCCAGGAGGCAGGAGCGCACCCCTCGAGAATGCGGCGGTCGAGGCTGGCGTCGCGCAGCGCCAGCGCGGAGACGGCCGCCAGGGCCGGCGCGCAGAGGTGCGCGTGCAGCGCGGCCAACGCGCACAGGCGGCCGCGCACCTGCCGCAGCGCGCCCGCGCGCGTGCCGAGCCCGCACCGGTAGCAAATCGCCCCCAGGGCCGCCCAGCGCAGCGCCTCTGTGTGCAGGGCGCCTGCGAGACACGCTCCCAACATCATCCTCTATATTCCCCAATTGTTGTTTATTTAATAGGGTATGATGGAATTCACCAAATACCCACCACCATTCTAAAATTTCTGTGGTAAAGAACAATCCACAACCACCCCAGACATACTAATTTAAAGAACTAGTATATAAGAAGTAAATGCAATTCATTGACATCTGCCTAACAATCAACAAGGTAATCAGAGATTAAGTGGTAATCACTTTCCACAACACTTTTTCTCTTTTCAACCCACTTCAGAAAAAGAAGAGGTTCTCAATTCGAATGTATTTCTTTATGTTTGTTACCTCAGAACTTTCAACTGAGTGAACTGATTTTGATGATTCTTTTTTTATTTGAAAGGGGCTTCGCATGTGGTTCCATATTAATTTTATTGATATTAGATCTTTGGCTCCGGGGATACTTGGGGAACTCCTGAAAATCAATTATAAAATGAATACAGAGCAAAATATTTGAAATTGGTTTTGTTTTTCGTGAATAAAAAATGGACTTGTCTGATCCATAAATCAAATTACATACATACCAATCACCCATACAATGTGAGATTTCAGAGTTTACACTAAAATGTTAAAAAGAAGCACTTGATAATGAAATTTTTGAAGATCAGTTTGTGAGTTTCCTAAAAAGAACCAATAAACAATTGTGCAATGATATTGTATTCATTTTTATATTGTAATTAAATACAATGCAAAATTCAAAAGTAGAATAATTAAATAACCATCTGATAATGTTTAAAGTTATCAGATGGTTTGGTCAAAGGATTGTTCTGTATATAACATATATTTATAAATATTTAATTTGAATAAACATGGTAGTAGCTTTTTCTTAATTCCTTATAACACTTACAGGTAGCATTAATGTGTAAATATAAGAGGCTACAAAAAATTAATTACATGTTTTAATGAGGTGCAATCAGCAATGCATTCTAAAATGATTTAGTGAGTGAGCATGCAGTTTAGTTGCCTCCGGGTGCTCCAACTTTTGGACTCAGCACTGCTAGAGCTACGGATATTAGCACCCCGAACACCATCCAATGTTTCTTAAATTCCCGCCACATGTCCACGCTATATTCACTGCTTTGGTTTACAACCGGTTTCCTTTCTTTACCCAAAACCAGAGTTAAACTTTTAACATCTTCCATATTAAAAACGGTTTTCATTAAACTTTTGATATGCTTAACTAGCACATTATTTTTATCGATGGCATGAGCTAAACAGATAACATTATTTGTTAAGAATATGTTTCTGTGAATACGTATAACCGTTAAACAAGGAAATCGTCGTTTAAAACACCAAGTTCGTAGTAATCACATAATTTAATTTACGCGCATCTGCAGAACCGGCTGCGGCATACCGCATTTAAATGACGTCATGATCATGAACCATGAACATTTTAATTTTTGACATTATCAACCCTAGTGTTGCCTACAAAAGTGAAAAGTCCATTGATAAAAGAATATAAGAGGATGTCACGTTAGGTCACGTGTGCTGAAGCCAAATGTTTCCCTAAAATGGCGTCGACTCCGCCCACAGCAAATAGTGTTGTTGTTTTTAAGTCCATATTGATATCGATATATTAATACCCATATTGATATCGATGACACGCAAAAATATTATTAACTTTGCACACCTTTCTATTAATTCTCATTTGTCACCACTAGTTGAAGGGTAGGAGGTAAAAACTAAAAAAATATAATGTTAACATAATGTAAGGGTAATGTAAACTAAAAGCAGTATTTGCTATCAGCATTATAACATAAAATAGGTTATTGTCATAAATAGTTAAATATAATTACAAAAACAATTAGTATAATCATTAAAATCGTTTATTCTTGGCGGAATAACATTAATTTTGTTAAAATGTTGCGCTTTGATATATTTTCTGAGTGTTTTTTTGATGATGATGAAACTAAATTAAGTAATTAACTAAATTAATTACTAAATGAACTAAATTATGTTTCTTCAAATCGTCAATAATAGTTTGGAAAGTCAACACCTTCTGCTTCAGTCTACGGCACTTCTGACTGAGTATCTTTATTTTCCTTTGCTGTAACTTCATTTGTCTGCATAACTTTTGGACATTTTTGGTTGCTTAACTGCCATAGCCTAAAAATGAACGTGAAATTACAATTAACATTTTATTTTATACATAAGGTTAGGGAGATAATTAACAGGGGAGATTCGTGCTCTGCAGTCGAACATACATAGGGTTGATGCTATTAAATTTCATCAAAATATATACTGAAATTAACGTATTGTGCCAGCCTTTAATAAGTAGGATACTAGTTAAACATGATGATGCTATTGTTTAAATAGAAGTTAGAGGAAATACTCACCATAAGAGTTTTAACCTGAATTTGTCGTCTTTTGATTGAGTCTGTTTGTCGTATCTATATCCATATTTGTCGGGTGAATACAGACGGGACTAAAGTCAATATCCATTGGTACATGCTGCAAATAATTAAAAATATACATTAATAATAATTATTTTATTTTATGTATGCTATGCTAGATATATATTTACTTTTATTTTTATGAACCTAACCAAATAAAAAAATATCCAAAATAAAAAGCAAATAAATATCCCCATAATACTAATAATAAATGAAAAAGCATTTGAACGGATTCACCAGATCAAGTCAAATTTCTCTCACTTCTCAAAACTTTTAATCTTAAACGCAACTTAAAATATAATAGAGAATAATTAATAAATAATTAGTAAAGAATAATTCCATTCTGTGCTGTGAGATAACATTAAAGTAAATTATAAATTTGTGAGTGCTATAATATTACATCATAAAACCATGAGAGTATTAGCGTTCTGTGACCACACCCAATGTTCTATTTACTCAAATTGCCTCAAAATGTTTGGAGCATATTTTGAGGACTCTTGTAGGTTTTGATATTTTCAGTGCCTATGTTTTCCATCCGTAATTTGCGGAGAGCCTCATTTTCCGGAAATCTAAAAAAAACAAATATTAATTTAATACATTACAGAATACTTATTATCAAAAACACAATTATACTTCACATTTTCGATGTCCCTGATTTCATTTTAATCTGACTATCAATACTTCTTCGTGGTAGCGAACTTGATACTTTGATGAGTGGAGCCAAAAAAAATAAAGTATCGATAAAATTTTCAAACAACCATGCTATGAACAACACTACGTTTTCATGTAAACATTGCAAATATTTACTTATTGACTATTTTACTTGTTAGTAGTAGTTAGAAGAATAAAAAATAAGCGATAACACTATATGTACAATTTCTGTTATATACACAAGTAGTATCACATACGAAAAAGTACAAAAAAATACAAAAACTGGAACTAACCTAAAAATGTCAATCCTTCGTTGTTTTTTCCAGCATTCGAATAACATCCTGTGATGCAATACTTTGCCATGTTAAATTTTTTTCCACTTATCTTTACAAACACTTCAGAAATTACCAGAACACACATAATTCACTATTAAAATGAAAATAATTTTCGAACAGCAATTATATGACAGTCGAAGTACTTATAAAAGTGTAGACCTAAAATGGCGGCATGCCATAAAATGTGCTTCAAGGCGGGGCTTAGTGACGTAACGGAAAATTAAAACAAAAATTTGAAATTCGTGACATATACTGTACTTTATTTACATTTGTAAATTACAACGCGTTAGAGTGAGAGAGATATGTTTTTGTAATTGAGGTGTATATTTACATCATATTTGTATAACGAGAAATTGTATATGCAATAAAGGGCATATCCTCTTATATTCTGATATCAATGGAAAAGTCGTAGATATTTTTATTGACTGTTTGGTTAGTTCCTTCAATTTTTGGTGCAGTGCAGTGTCATATTTTCTAAATGAATGAAAAATGGATAAGTTTTTAAAGTTAACGATGCGTGAGGAGCATGCAAAGAGTATTTAGTAACATCAAACAAGAAACCAGAGTTGCATTAAAATATATCGATATTCTTATATATCGAAATTTTTGCCCATGCCTAAAATTGGTGTTGTATAGCAATGCCAAAAGTCGAAAAAAATATCTATATATCGATATTTATAATAAATATCAATATTGGCCTCGATATATCGAAAAAAATATATCGGTATATCGGTCAAATTTTCGGTTTTAAAAAAAAATATTGTATTTAGTTCAGTCTGATTCAATAATAAGTAATAGTAATTTTTATACCAAATTCACATTATTTTAAGGAATGAAAATTTTTATTAACTTTAATCAAATTTCTTTTATTAATCTAAATTTCTACGTATATTATTTATCAAGACCTTCATTAGAAAATACAAATAACTTGTTTAGTAAGATAAATCAGTTTCTTTAGCTTTAACTTTAGTTGATGCCATTAATATTTCACATACCATTTATAAATTATTATAATATGTAGTTCAATATTAGTTATTTGGCGTGGTGTTGTCGAGACGGAACGCTCCGGAACGTCGTTCCGGTACTTCCTTTTTGGACAGGAACGCGTTCCGGAACTGAAGATGATTTCTGATAACGAGAATTGGCTGACGTATTGAAAATTGGGGGAAATCCCTCCCCCCTCCCCGTCGTCAAATTTGGGACATGAGACCTAAATAAAAACGTCGCCGCCAGGATTATCATGGAAAATCACCCCCGTCGTTAAATTTGGAACATGAGACCGCACAGAGCGGCCGCCTACCCAGGATCGGCTCTGTCTATATAATAATATAATATACACGTTCCAGTAAAAAATAAATAGCACAACACCACTGGTTATTTGTAACACCTTTATACCATATTGTACCTAAGATATGGATAGTATAAAGTACGAAGCATCAAATCTTATCCTTTAAACGAGCAATTCTTGTATATATATATATATATATATAATCGGAATCTCGGAAACGGCTCCAGCGATTTTCATGAATTTTAGTATATGCGTAGATTCGGGGGCGAAAAATCGATCTAGCTAGGTTTCATTTTTAGAAAATGTCCTTTTATCCCTGTTTTCAGGGAATGAAAAATATAATTCGAATATGACGGTAAATTTCGCCGCAAGAGAAAATGTCATAATAGCTCGGTCGGTAATCGGGCGGCCCCAAAACAGATGGCCGTGGTTCGCGTCACGATCATTTACACATTTATTTATTTTTTTTCGATTCCAGATCATTGCTTTCTTTATTTTTAATTTTTTGTCGATTTGTTATTTTGTAATTTTTTTTTCCCTTTTTTTTAAAGTTCTTTCTTTTGTGAAAAGCATCAGTTCATATTTTCTTATTATTACGTCGGTAAGATCGAAAAATATTATGCATGTTTCATTACTCAGTAATTTGTATCTAAATGTAATTTCCAAAATACACGATTTACCAAAAAAAAAACAATTATAAATACCATTATTATAGTACAAAATGCAATTTCGCATCCGCGAAAATATATATAGCCCATAGATTTTTTTCCGTTCATTTTTATCTTTAATTCAAAATTCTTTCAATGAGTTTGAATAAAAATATTGTGATACGATTACGTGACACATATTCAAATTTTTATATCGATATATCGGATCAAAGTATATCAAAAATATCGACATATTTTTTCGTCATCCCTAGTGTTGTAGTTGTACTGAATTTGAGCTTGACGTTTACTTTACTTTTTAATTTTATTTTTTACTTTTTCGAAAATGATTTCCTAAAATCCTAACCTCTGCTTTGTAATACAAATTACGTATATCAACTCCTTTCCGTCATCGTTTAGGTGCAAGATTCGCTTAAATACTGAACATAATGTTATTAAACAGAGCTAAAACAGTGATAAAAACATTAAAAAGAACTTCATTAATAAGGTTTAGTGTTGCTTTATTACATTCTTGCTGGTCTAAACAATTTTCGTATAAAATATTAATTTAGACAATATAAAGTAAGTAAATATTTAGATGTTCAGGAATTTATTAACTTGACATAACGTTTCAGTCCTGTGAGAAATAAAGCGGCATATGAAGGGGATGGCAGAACAACAGTTCGCGTTATTAATCAAGAGCAGGAATTAGGACTGATGATAGACTCATATGCTACTGTAAGTTTCCCATCGTCACTTTCACATATCAGGACTTGTGGTTTTCTATGTATCCATGTTTTTTTTATAAAGCAATTTACAATATCGACATGATAAACACTTATCTGTTTTCCAATAACTACAATTCGGAAATTTCTAGTGTAATTTTTCTATAACTCATTGAACTCAATGGGTTCATCAGCCTTGTTTTATATTATATTTTAATATAGATTTGCTTTACAAGAGCAAAGCTAAAGTGTTTGTTACAGGCTTTATGCGCAAGGTGGTGGTAGACAAACAGGCACCTAGCTTGATCTTAATTCATTACCCCTAAATATTTTTAATGACACTGCTGATCTTCATAATTAATATAAATAAACAATCATAATTTAAAAAATGCTCCTTATTACCTCATTCACAAAATGAAACACAAAAGTGAAATTCCTCCACTTCATAGCCCCACAGGCTACTTCCAACCATCAACAAACACTCAATAAGAATATCTAGAAAAAAAAGTTATGATTGAATATATTTTTAAAGAGAGAAGAAGGACAGTTTACAGTTTTATTTAATTTTTTTCAATCTGATTAATACATTTCATTAATACATTCTACTCTTCTATTGTTGAATCCTACTCACTTTATTTTGATTAGGAATATAAAATTTACAAGTTCTAATGGAATCTATCAAATGATGTTTTGTTGCAGTATGGCTTTAGACTAAATAATGGAGTAACAGTATTAGGACCAATGGCAATATTTCCTAGGTAAGTCATTGTTATTTTTTGTTTTAACTATTATGTTTTATGTTTTGAAAACCTTACATAATGGTTGCCTTAGGTGCTCACCTTTCATTCAATATACTCTACCAACCTGAGTTCGTCCCCGGTGCTGGCACCAGTGTAATTGTTAATTTTAAGTGCTCAGCGGTGAAGGAAAACATTGTGAGGAAACCTACATATTTTTAAAATAATAATATTAAAAAAAAATTTGAAGATATATGTATAATAGAAGTCTGCCAAACCGCAGTGGGTCCGCGTGATGGACTATGCCCTGATAACCTTGTAGGAGGCCTTTGCCCAGCAGTGGCATATGTATAGGGTGATACTTTACTACTTTTCACTTTTTTATAATATTCTTTAGACTTGTATTAAAATAATGTTCTTTCTTATTTATAAAGGTGGTATTAGAGAAAGAGAGAGAGTATAAACTTGAAATATTGTTTTAATATACCCAAAACAATTCTAATTGTTCCTTAATATACTATGAACACACAGGACAGTGTTGTCGTGGCAGGTGCGTGGCTCTTTTGAGGTAACTGATAGTTCTCTTCGCTTCTTCAAGATTCTCGAACCGAAAATTGATTTGCTGGTAAGTATTAATTTTTATTGTCCTAATATCATATACAATATGTGTTAATTTGTGCTATTCCTCACACATTATTAAAGTTTGGGTTAAAAATTAGGTGACAAATAATAGATTGGGGTGCAGGCCACCCTACTAAACCCTGGTCCTTGGGGACGGATATCCAAGGTGGCAATTTCCTGAGCCCTGAGCTTCACGCATGGGATGTCTGCTGCTGAATTCTTGTGCCCTGTGCTTGTGAGAGCCCTTTTTTTTTGCCCTATTTTCTTTCTCCTATAACAACTGTAAAGCCATTGCCATTGACTTTGAAAAAAATGTCTTTGAAAACAAAAATAAAGTTTAGTTGTATTTACAAGAAAACCAAATGTCATGAACTACATTTTGAGAAAGATATTTTTGACTTGCTTGTTTTGCCTCCTAATTTTATATTGGACTAGCTGACCCGGCAAACGTTGTTTTACCATATAAATTATTTATAGGAAATTTTTGAATCCATAGAAAAATAAAATTGTAAGGCATGCAATTTTTAATATTTTCCATGCAATTTTTCCATAATTTCTCATCGTTTAAACCTTTCCTGGACTGCCAAAAATATTTCAAAGCCAAAATTAGCCAAATCGGGCCAGCCGTTCTAGAGTTTTTGCGAGACTAACAGCAATTCTTTTTTATATATATATGTGATTTTGAAGAAGCACAAATTAGTAGGCACTGAAAATATAAAAGACCTTAAATTGCAAAAGTTTTTAATACCTGTGTCTACTGCTTTCACACTCCGCGCCAAACCATGTAGGCGAGACCGCTGAGATGTTGATAGCATTGCATAGATATAGAATGCGGCTGACCATTTGCTTCCTACATTAAAATAACTTAAAAGCAAATGGTATTTATAATTTTATTGTGGTAGGGCCCCCGGCAATAGTTTTCGCTGTTGCCGAATAGGCTGGTCCGTTCGGTTAAGTACCACGACCTCCCAGAAGACCGGCGTGAAGTGGAAGTTATACTTCTGCGTGTCCTCTGGTGAGTGCCGGGCCCATTTCTTATGTGAGAAGGAGGTGGTTTACCTGATCTTAAGTGATACCCGCCGCCCACGGACATTTGCAACACTCGTATGGTTGCAGATGTCCATGGGTGTTGTCACATAATAAATAAGTGGGCCCCGGCTACCTCACTCACCAGGCGAAACGAATGTCGGCGCCTCCTCGCTTGCCACCTTCTCGCATAAAAAAATATTTGACATACTTATTGTAAATATTTTTATGTGAAAAAGATAGCAAGCGAGCAGGCGGTTAAAGAGCCAACCACGTGTATCGTATATACCAGGTGGTAGGTCTGGAGACGAACGAACGGAGCGCCGTGGACATAGTGTTCCGGGCCGCGCGCGCCAACTCGCTCAACGTGGAGATACTGCCCACCGAGTCCGCCTGTTCCACCTTCAACTTCCTCAATGCGGAGGGCAGGTGATGGTTCATTTCTTTATATGTAGTTTACTACGCTAATACGATAGTCATTGATACTCTCACTACATGACACGTGATATTTTACTTGTAATTTTCCATATATCGTTAAAGCACACCCGTACATGGAAACTCTAAGGTAAAGTAAAGTAACAACATGTCTCACTGCTGGGCAAAGGCCACCTCTGGTACAGAGGGTATCAGGGCATAGTCCAAGCGGCCTCATTGCAGGTTGGAAGACTTCACATATCTTCGTATATGTTTTTGTTATTATTTAGCTATTACGGCTCTAATGTACCAGCGTCGCTCAATGTGCCTCGCACTGCGCAGGTCCCTGGCGGGTGCGCTCATCCCGCCGCTCACCGTGACGGCGAACGAGGACGACATGCTCCAGTCCCAGTTGCACTACCGCAACCTCTACCGCCGCGAAATGTAGTGTAATGGATCTTCTATCACATACATCCTAACGGAGAACATCCATGTATTTTGGACAGAGCCCCGTCCGACCAAGCAATTAAAGCTTTATTTTTAACCTTTAATTTGCAGAGATATTAATGTTTGTTTTAATTAAAGTAAATAGTTAATTGTCAAGTTGTAGGTCCTTGTATATAGTTAAGTTATGGTGACATTTGTATTGTAAATAAATGTTTAGTTGCATACCATCTACTTTTTCATTTACTTTTTTTACGAAATTGAATACACTTCATTAGTGTAATATTGGCAAGGCGGTGGAGCCACAACAGCTCCTTATGCGCGAATTTGCCAATTCCACCGGCCGGGTAAGGCTTAGACCACGGCCACTCAAGGGATTGTTGTAATCTAGTTCAACTAACAAGTGATAAATGCAAGAATTACTTAACGTCAGCTTTAACCGACTTTTCCCTATAAGAATATTATTATTTTAATGCGATAAGAGATGAGATTTACACATTGTTTTACAATAAGAGCTACACACCTAATTTTTTTGTACTGTATAATTGTTTGTTTTACTTTAGGAATGTATAATTATTGTTTATAGAAATGCATAATTATTTTCAAGAATTAAAATACTGTTTTGTTATTCAATAAAAACGCGCAAATAAATAGTCAATACAATAAGTAACTATAATTATGAAATTGTTCATAAAAAACATTTATTAAATACGTGAAGTAAAAAGTCTGTGATCAAATTGCGAATAGATTAATATTGTTCAAACTTATAATTTAAATTAATTAATGGTCGAGTTTCGACCACTTCGTGATCACTAGTTAGTAATAAGTATTATTACTTATCTTATTATATATTACTTATTATATATCCATTTACTGATCTGTATTTTTTCGAATTGTAGTTATTTTCTCGCTCTTCTCTTTCTTTCTCTTTTAATATTCTCGCTACACCTTACTTTTACCTACCTTATATTAATTATTATAGTGCTATCTGCGCTTATGATGAAATTTAAAATATTGTAGAAAAAGGGCCGAAAAGATATTCGCCACTGCGGGGATTTGAATCTGTGTCCTCGGGGATACGCTCCCCACTGAAAGGTCTGGCCACTGAGCTAAACGGATTAATTTCATATTTACATGGGCGAAAATATCAACATATTTCATCTACTTTGATATTTATTACCTACATTTTTTATGTGAAAAATTGCCAAGCGAGTAGGCGGATCAACTGATGTTAAGTGAATACCGCCGCCCATGGACATCTGTTACACCCGAAGATTGCAGATGCGTTGACAGCCTTTTGAAAATTGGGCTCCGGCTATCTCACTCACCAAACGAAACGCGAAAGTATTTGTTATAATTTCACTTTACGCCGATCTCCTGTGATGTTGTGGTGCTTACCCGGACGAGCCTGCCCATTCGTGCAACAGTCGAGGTGCTCTGTTGGCTGTGGCTCTACCTACCTACATTTTAAAGCAATGTTTGACGACATATTTGCAAAATACCTTTGCTATTAAATTTCTTCAAGGATATTAGGTTTTATGGTGCACTTGCCCGCGACTACGTCTGCGTAGAATAGGCTGAAGACATAACATTCAGACGGAAAGACAGATATACATATAAATATGTATATAAATTATAGCCTGTCAAATTCTGATGTATAAGTTATATTATTTGTAAAGTTTTATTATAATCCATTCAGTAGCATTTGCGCGAAGGGTAACAAACATCCATCCATACGGATATAAGTATTGTAGTGTTTTGTGTCAACTAGAACTTATTAAGGATATGGTTTATTAAATTTTGGTTTTCAAGTATCCAAAAGGGATTTGTTTTACTGGGACATCAGACAGTAAACGCCAGGAATGAAAAACAAAAATTTTACGCGATTAGATCTTTTATTAAACTAATTTACAATCAGTGATTTGGATAAACATAGTGTATAATTATGCTTCATAGAACAGTGATTTGGTAGGTTGCGTTGGTGTGGCTGCGACCTTCCTCACCCTACAGGTGGTACATGGTGAGCAGACACTGGCTCACCACGCGCATGTAGCGCTCCCACACGCTCTTCAGGTCCGCCTCCCTGCCGGAAGCAACGGAAGTTTTTGTACTGATAACAATATCGTGGGATTATGGTTGAAGTTTGAAAATAGTAGCTATAGCGATTTTTTGATCCCACAGGTATTAAAAGGGCGGGCCACCAATATACCTCAGTACATCCATCTGGAGCGCGCACTGTTCGTAGGCGCAGAGGAACTGCGCCAGGTCGGTCTTGGGCCAACTGCCCAGCCGCAACGGTTCTATGCACCTGCACGAGCATCATATACGAGTGAGAACAGGCGAGAGGAGCTGAACGGACGACGGCGAGGCGGGAAGGGAACGCTCACCGCTCCAGCAGGTCCACGAAGAGCGAGCGCAGCTCCCTGCCGCGGTGCAGGTTGCAGGCGAGCCCCACCAGCGCGCGCGTGTACAGCCTGCGGCAACAGCACAGCTCGCTTGTACATTCGGAAAAGCCTGTCCGTTAGGGTTCATGTGTCGGTTCGTGCCTGAAGTTGAGCTCCAGCTCCTGGTAGGACTTGTCGAGCAGCTTGGGCCTGAGGCGCATGCACACCAGGTGCTTGTGCTCCTTCTCCTTGTCCAGCAGCAGCCGCAGCTCGCGCAGCTCCAGCAGGAACTCGCGGTCCATCTCCGTGTCGTAGTACTCGGGCCCCGTGCAGCTGTACGTCCAGCTGCCCATGATGGCCTGCGGAACCGCTCTCTCTGACCGACCGACCGACCACGCAAGGAGCTCTTCGGATCAAGGTCCAATGCGACCATAATGCCATACATAATACTTTGCAATCATGAATTTACATGATGGTGATCATTGAATGATTCGTCATGTAATTCTTATTCCTGGACCACTCGGTGATACCATACTAAGAAACTGGCTTCTGTACTGGGAGTCGAGGAATCAACCTCGTATGGGACAAGTGATTGCGTGATAATTAATTAATAGACGTTTGCACCCAAGGAGGGTTGATGTCAGGCAGAAGGCCAGTTGTAAAAAATTAGTCTCATATAATATTATAATAATGATGTAATTTAACAGGAATGAATTATACTACATATAATAAGAATATCGCGACAATTTAACTTTCGATGTGTCATTTGGAAGATTGTTTAAGCAATAATAAACTATCATGTATGTACACAATAAATGTTTGAATATTTTATTTTTGTAATATTAATGTGCCATAGTTATTTTAAATAATAAACATAGAGCTAAATTTTGATTCTACTTAATACTACATAAATTAAGAATTTCATATATGAATCGAAATACAGAAGGTGAAAGAAGAAGTGATATCGTGAATATATGAAGAAGAAAGTAGGTAAGTATCCACTTACCTACTTTCTTCTTCGTATAATCGTTTATTGAAATAAAAAAAAAATCCAAAAAAAATGCCATTCTATTCCCTAAAAAAACAAAACGTGTTGACAATGCGGTAGTCATTCGTAAACACCTAAATTTTACTGTTCACGAACTTGTGTGCGTGTTAATTGTGAATGATCACGCGTAAAATAAATGAGTTGCCTATAAATGATATACATTTTTTATGTTTAATTGATACAAGGACTTTTATATTATATTAGCTAAACTAAAGGCAGTGGTAACCTGTGCGCAGTGGTAGAAATCGTTGAAGGTGAGGTACTGCAACTTGCGCTTGCCAGTCTCAAACCGCATACACGCGATGAACACCACGGCACCATACTTTCTAAAATTATATTTCACTATTTAATATCAGGATCAAAACGTTTTCATTACAATCGCCGTCATAATAGAGAAGGTGAAAAGGAGAGCACCCGGTGGCCTACGTGTACCTGGCAAGGGGCTCCGATATGAGGAAAGTGTTGCGAATGTTGGCCACCACATTTCCCGGCATCTCCTCCACCGCCTTGAACACTCGCCGCACGTTGTCGAACTGGCGCCGACAGCAGCGCAGCGGTGCGCCCGACCGCTCCGCCACCTATCGACGCATATTTGCACTCTTTCATGCGCGTTATTCTTTTCTTATTCATAACAAATACTCAATTTGGGGCGACAAAGCATAACTCCGGGCCATGGATCGATCGTCTGCCGCTCCGACCCTGCCCTGTGTTCCCCAAAGGTTCCCATCAGCCAAAGTGTCTACTTGTGTAGACATTGAAAACAAGGGCTTGCCTCTCTTCCAAGGGGTCAAAGTGAAGCCGTCGGATCTCTTGCCATCGTCGTGGAAAATACTACAGGGCTCTTAAGTAAAGTAAAAGTAACGTTGGAAACAAGGGCCCTACGGATGATGTCGTTCTGGGAACCATAGCGGTAAAAGCACTTTTTTTGACAAGAAGGCCAGTGGATACCATATTTATTTTCATCTCAAGGGCATTGGTGTGATTGACAAAGCTTCCTGTACTCTCACACAAAATCTTTACAAATTATAGCCATATGTTATTACAATGTATAAGTTATATTATTGTAAAGTTTCATTAAAATCCATTCAGCAGTTTTTGCATGAAACATTAACAAACATCCACACATACAAACTTTCCCATCTCCAATTCCATCCCAATAACTAACTGAGTTCCAAAAACAAATGGTTTACCTCGTCTAAATCTTTTCTGTGCCTTGAGGAGAGTTTACGACCAAGTAGCTCTCTGATAACTGCATCATCTAGGTCATAATATCTGAAACAGTATTATTATTATTTATTATAAATTATAAATATTAGTATATATATAATTTTCTAGTAATTGTGTATTAATAGATTCATAATTATTGTATTAAAATATTGGAATTGTATAAACATTTTTTTTACAGCGTATCATTACAACCCCTACAATAAATGAACAAATGTCTAATGCTACTTGCCGATAATCAAAAAAAAGGATGAACGTTAAAAAAAATCCATAACTAAAAAATATATTTATCAAACAAATTTAATAAAAAAGAAACAAAATTGTAACATCCTATACAACTACAACTGACTGATTCATACATTCAGAGACTTTTTCATTCATTGCCACAGCTTCGCATTACAAAATCTCCTCCTAACAGTATGTTTGATCTCTTTTAAATTCATCCAACCCATTCATATGCTTTGTGACCTTTTCAAATGAACTATATGTTACAGTTTTATACGTAAGGGTGTTCTAAAATTATTTGTTTTGGAAAATCTAAAAACTCGATGAACTCTAAATATTGATGTTTAAATAATGTAAATGTTTAATATAATTTTAAAAGTTATCCTTTATATGTGTGTTCATTGATTGTCGCGGTTATAACGACACACTGTATAAATGATAAACATATACATGATCAACGTTTTTTCCACTAATAAACAAATTGGCAACTTGCTGCACAAATTATTACTTTTCAATAAGCATTTGTTTTGTAGCCTCATCAATTTGGAAGATCATTTGCTCTGAGAGTTTTGATGGAACTGTTAACAAACGCTCCAATAATGCAAAGGTCCTGCAAAAAAATATCATATTTTAATTTCAATTTAATTTGTTATGTTTCAAATAAATAAACTGTATATACCTGTAATGGTCTAGAACATCACTTGCAATCAGTTCTACAGTTGCTCCACTTTGTTTCTCTGCTGCACGTTTATGCAAGGTTGACACAGCTTCACTAGCTAAAGTTAATAATTAATAGAATTGGGGCATGTGACACATTACGATATTTCACATTTTAAAGCGCTATTAACAACTGAATCTGGTAAGACATGTTTATGACATGGACACTCACAACATCAGATTTTGCAGCAGCATTGATCCACAGTGTGGGTCTCTTGTTACCACATTCAAAATAGATAACTTGCTTTCAAATTGTTTCAAATTAAAATCATTTGCAACACTGGTAGCAAATGTGTTGCCACCTTTTAATAGTGTGGGCCCTGGATACCTTACTTACCAGACAAACACAGAAGCATAACACTTCTACTTTATGCCGGTCCTCTATGAGGTTGTGGTACTAACCCGGACAGACCTGCCCATTCGTGCAACAGCAAATAGGTACTGTTGTGTGATCCTGCCACAGTAAAATAATTTATACCAAATTAAATAGCAAGTATTCCTTTTGCTTTGAGGGTGATTATGCAGCCAGTCTTTGGCAGCATAGTAATATTGAATTTAAAATATGTGCTACTACAACTTATATATATTCAGCTTCACCTGCAGAGACTAATAAATATCATTTATTAGGCCTTTGCTTTGAATAATAATAATTAGTATCTATATGAGTTCTCGTTGGAGATATGTTAAAAGTTAGATGGTTAAAATCTATTGTAATTATTGGTCATTTTGTTTTGTTAGTAATTTTACCCATTTTAATTACTGTAGTTTTATAATTATCGAACTATATTAAGACTTACACGAACAACCCTCAATCCAAAGCTGGTATATTTCAGGGTCAATAAGAGTGAAATTACTGACGAACACATCGACTTCTGTATACATTTTTAACTAAATTATATATAAATGACTATTAGACACTTCTTTTTATTTAGCTTTGGCTTTTTTTAGTTTTTACTTTAATAATTTGACAATGTCAATTGTCACCATCACCAGCAGGGTTGGATTTAGGTGCGGTTAAAAAGATAGTACATAAAATTTAAAAGGATAGTATTAGATAAAAAAATTATAGTACATTATTATTAATGCACAAAAAATAAATCATTTTACTCAAAAACTCGAAGAAAATTCTTATTATCAGTTTGAATTTTAAATAAAAACGGAATGGCCGTACTATAAAATAATAAATTAATCATACTATTAGACAATTATAAACTCAATTACAAACTTCATTGAGTGCAATGTGCAAAGTGACTGTTTGAAAAAGCGGTGTATCGAAAACAAGTAAAATTCATGGTAAGTCCCCGTTGATGACAAAGTTGATGACAATCAATACATATTAATAATCTATGGTAATAATAGAAAATGAAGACAAGTGGTAAAAAAGCTTTAATATTGTTTGATAGACAACCCAAACATTTATACAATACAACCCTTCTTTTAATGTTGGATTGGCAGTAAATGGTATAATATTGATCACATAGGTAAAGTAATGAAATTATACCACGTTTTCGTACTATCCTTAGATATGGATAGTATATAGTACGAAGCATGAAATTTTAGTACAAATACTATAATAACTTGCTACAAAATCCTACCCTGATTTTCATAGGCATGAGCAAAAAATATCGATATTTTTTATACAATTACCGATATATATCGTCGATATTTTATATCGCGATATATCGATAATCGACATTTATTTTAGACTATCAAATTCATGTCAATTTCAATATATTTTTAACGCAACTCTGGTGTAATAGATACTCTGCATGCTCCTCGCGCATCGTTAACTTTAGAAACTCTATTCAACTATTTTCTTCATATCTTTTATTTTGAATGGTTCGAAAATGTGTATAAATAATCATGAGAAAAATGACGATATATCAATATTTTTCGATCAAATAATTATCGATACTTTTGTAAAATTTAAAATACGATATATAGGAAGGCTTTTCTAAATATAATCCATTTTCTTTTACTAAATTTTAGACATAAATAATTTTATATAAAAAATGATAAATATTTAAAATCACTTGTAATTAATTAAATACATTTATTTAAACTTATCTCAAACATCGCGTGATTTATAGCCAACTCATTTATTTTACGCGCGATCATTCATAAATAACACTCACACAAGTTCGTTTCAAAAGTATACGATGCATTTATGAATGACTACCGCATTGTCAATAAGTTCTGTTTTTAGTGAATGGAATGGCAATTTTTTTTTTTAAAAAAGTTTGTTTTTATTTATATAGACGATTATACTACCGAGTTTGAACCTTCTGTGTGAATTTGGGCACATTTAGAAAAGCCCCCTTGTATATCGATATTTTTTTTTTACTTGCACATTTTGTCACTTGCTTTGCTTGTTTATTAAATTCAAAGATATTACGAACTATAATAGATATACTTACGAACGTTAGTAAGTGTAAGATCTTTGAATTTGACTGACTGAATTGTACTAACTTCATCAATCAATTACGGATGCCGAAAATGAAAAAATATATCGATATTTATGAAAATATCAATATCAGCCTCGATATATCGAAGAGAAAAAATCGATATTTTCTTTTTAGGCCCTGAAGTTGATGTATTGGATCAATATGTTAAATATATCGATATATTTTATTAAAATATCGATATTTTTCCAGCATCCCTATAATCAATTTGACTTGACTTGTGTTGAGTGACTTATCGAGTTTACGAGTGAAAAAAAATCGAAACCTATTTTAGTATTTGTAGGTTTTTATCAGTTTTTTAGACGAGTTAAAATAATAAAATAAAATATGACTTATCGTGTAAATAATAATAAATTAAAGTATGTAAACAGATATGAAAGCTCTATTACATTTATCAAATATTGGATTCATGTTAATGTAACGATTTCAGATTTTCCATAAAATTTGACGTGTTTCAAATATTTTCAGGTATTTCAGATATTTTATGCGTTTGCGCATTGTGGTATAGTAGCTAGCCATCAACCCTTATTTGCAAGGACATTGACAAAGACAACACACTGCAAGGCACTTGGCACTTAGGCTGCTCCATGGGGCCGGTATCGGCATCCATAGTGGACTCTGCGTAAAGTTTTACTGATTGGAAGGTAAATTGTTTACAATAGCAGCACGCGCGTCTTTCATATACAGGACATGGCTTAGTTTTCCATTGATATCCATCGTATTGGGGATTGATATTTTTTTTACAGAAGAAAAAGTAAAGTATCAGCCTACAGGCATACATCCCTCAGTATACAGGTCCCACTACTGGGCAAAGGCGTCTTCTGTTCAGAGGTTATCAGGGCATACTACGTGGCCCCATTGCGGATTGGCAGACTTCACATATCTTCGAATTTTTTTTTTGTTTCGAAAATATACAGGTTTCCTCACGATATTTTCCTTCACCGCTGAGATAATTCGGCAGTTAAAATAAACTATTTCATTGGTGCCTGCGCCGGGAACGAACTCAGGTTGCTTGAGTATATTGAATTAAAGGCAAGCACCCAGACAGAAAGGTTACAATATTATGAGCACACACGCAAAGTTTCAACATGCGACAATACGTGGTTTTGGAGAAAAAAAATATTTAAAACATTATTTTCACTAAGAAATTTTCCACCATTTTACTATTTTGACTTCAAAAACTCAATACACACTACTGCCAAAATGATAAATATAGGAAGCAAGCGACATCATACTCATATTGATTATTATACAAAATATTATATCTTTTTTTGAAAAATTTTATGAGTGACAGATCCGACACAGCGCAATCTGACTTGGATAGATTAGGTTAGGTAATTTTTTTTGTTCTTTCGTGGTTATTTTTTTATTATCACCCAGAATTGACGTTCTGCAACAGTAGTTATAGTATCATGGTTGTAGGGCCACGCAGCAGCCTCGGCTGTTGCACGAATGGGCAGGCTTGTCCGGGTAAGTACCACGACCTCACAGAAGACCGGCGTAAAGTGGAAGTATAATACTTTCGTGGACTATTATCATCATTTACATTTGCAGTGACCAAGATTAACTAAAGATTCTTCACAAATTTAAGAGCGCCTGACTCTCAACATGGAATCTAAAACTGAGGAGTGTCATATGAAAGAAGAGGATGTCAAAGAGGAAATAAATACAACAAACATGTTTGCAACTGTGTGGGTCAAGGTTGAACCTACCCTTGATGAATATGATATGGCTGAAAATAAACAAATGAAAAAAGAAGAACTTGAAAGCGAAAAACAATTTTCATTGTGAGCATCTTTTACTTTGTTTAAAATAATATTTTTCATTATTTTTCAATTCATTAACAACATTTTTCTATTTATGCATTGAACAAATAGAGGGAAAATGATTTCATTATAGTCCATCTAATCTAAGTCTCTCCAGATTCCATTTTCCTGTGACCAAGGGCTAAAATGGACAGGATAGGATGACAGGAGAAGTCTGAGAGTGTCCAAAATGGTGGAAAATAGAACCATAATTAAAAGCAAAATGATTGCATTAACACAGAAACTTAATAAATGTACATAAGTTTAATGCATACATATTTATAATTAAATAGGTACAATGATTTTCTGATTTGCATTTGTATAATATTTTACCTATTATAAGCAATTTATCCAGTCTCATAATATCTTTATACTAAACATTGTTACCAATTGCAGTAATAATTTTAAAATGTGTGCATATCATGTCTTATATTTCTTACATGCTTTGTTGTCATGTTTTTAATATGGTACACTAAATACAAAGTATTTTCCAAACATGAGATAATTTAGTGAATCATTCAAACCTAATAAAAGTTACTAATTTAATCTTTTCTACCACCATTAACAGGCCTATATTAGATTTGATCGACTGTAAAGCCGAGTGTATATAATGTTTCCGAATTTTCAATAATTAAACATTCTTCAACTTGGCTTCTTTTGATGATTTTTATAAAACACATTGTCTTATTGAATTTGTTTATTTATGAGGTGTTATTCTGCATAATGCTTCTTTAGATGGTCAGCCAAGGAAATTTTTTACACTTTATGCTATTGCATTTTATGTAGATGAGTACTTGTTTATTTCTAAGGAGTCGTAAAAATCCATACAGCTAGGGAGCGTGATTGTAAAAGATATTATCTGTTAATATAAAATTTAAGGGACAGTTTGTTGTTTTAGGTTTAATAGTGGAGTTAATCCAAAACAAAGTAGAGAAGATGATTTTCTTCAGTGTTCTCTGTGTAATTACTCTACACGTTACAAGAACAGTTTGACGCTCCACAAACTGAAACATAGTGAGGCAAAGCCATTTGTGTGTGAATTTTGTGAATACCGTACAAAGTATCGTACAGCACTTCAGCGCCATAAAAGTATCAAGCATCAGAGTAAACAGGTTGAAACAGATGGTTCCGAAACAATTGCCAGGTATAAATGTAAGCAGTGTGAATTTACGACATGCTTTAAATGGAACCTAAAAGCCCACCAGAGACGGCATTCGCCAAATAAAGAACACAAATGTTCACAATGCTCTTATGTAACAGCATACCGCCACAACCTTATTAAACATCAGAGACAGCATAATAAAGTTTTTTTCAAGTGTGACAAATGTGCTTTCAAGACCCAATTCGAGGGGCATATTTACCGGCATATGTCCAAGATCCACAATGAGCTGATGTATGAAGGTCATAAATGTAGCTATTGTGACTTTTGTACTAGAGTGAAGTGGCGTCTAAATATTCATTTACAACGTAGCAAACAAACTCTAGCGTTCAAGTGCGGCTTTTGCGATTTCGAGACCATGTACTCGTGCGAAAGCAAGAAACATAAGAGAATTCATTTTCAAGAGAAAAAAGAATATGACATCAATGAAGAAAGCTTCCAATGTACTACTGATCATACGGATGTTAACAACAGACAACTATCTGTTGTTTCTGCTGAAGCCAAGCCTTCTACAGAATCCAAGCGTTCAGGAGAAACGAAGCTTTTAACGGAAATCAAGCTATCAACAGAGTCTAAGCCATCAACAGGATCGAAGCCTTCATCAGATCCCAAGGAGTGTATGTATACTGATAAACACCAAAAATCTAACCACTACACCATAGACTCTGACTCTGTGCAATGGAGCAACATACAAGTTCTTGAATTGAATGACGGAGAACGTTCCTTCCGGTGTTACATGTGCGGCTTCGCGTCCAAGTTCAAGGCCACCGTGCAACGTCACTTCCAGAGGCTGCACACGGACAAACTGGACCGGCCATATAAATGCTGCAACTGCAACTTCTCCACCAAGACTAAGGACCAAATCACGTTGCATAACAAACGGAGCCAGTCTAACCAAAGGTTGCACTGCTCTCAATGCGAATTCAGTACCTTGTTCAAATGCCAATTAGTTATGCATCAAAAGATTCATAACGAGTACAAATGTAGTAATTGCGATTACTCGTGCAAAAACAAATATGATTTGGACATTCACTTTTCTGCCCAGCATTTGGGTAAATTTTTCAAGTGCAAGTTTTGTGAGTACAAAACGGCACGCAGGGACAGCCTGATGAGCCACGAAGCCACGCACACTGGCGACAAGCCACTCAAATGTCCCGATTGCGAGTACAGGACGGTTAGGAACAGCTCATTGATGAATCATATAAACAGAAAACACAGTGAACGCCTAAAGACGTGAGTGCTGACGAACGAAAATTATGGGTCGCGTCAAACTTATGGTGGCTGTGAATGTGTTTAGTGTTAAATGTGCGCCAACGCGCCGTGCACTAGCGAATATTACTTTTGCGCAGGAGTAGAAAAAGTGAGAGGAAGATCACGCTCGCCCGCTACCCCTTGTATCCCGTCCCAATCTATTGTACTATTTTTAGTTCAAGCCATTATTGTAGCTTGTTGGAGGTTATTTACAATATTTATTACATTTTTTTTGTATATAGCCTACTATAATAAGTTATATTTCTTTTAGGCGGTAAAAAAATTATATAAGAGTATAATTTTTACGATTCACGCGCACACCGATAGTCAAAAAGCGACATAATGTTGGCTACAAATCAACTTGCCGATCTCATTGTATCAGTACAAGGTGGAGCTCGATTCTAAGCCATCATTAAGCTTGGTACGCCCCATAACGTCAATCATAAAGCCAATTGTTTCTTTGGCTTTGCTTCGTCAGAAAAGGGAAATGTCTTCTGAGAGTATGATATTGCATGATATAAAAATCCTAAGAGTAAGGCAAAATTCAATAAATCTATATTGTTAGAAGGTATAATTGTAAATAAAAATGATTTTTTGGAGACTTGTCTTCTATACATTCCTAAACCATTCATCAGATTGTGATGAAACTTTGGTGAGTTGTTCTGTGTATGTCAGGAAATTGCAAGATTGCCGCAATGTGGTCGGTCACATAATATAATCTACTGAATGCGCAGATCAATTCGGGGAAGCATCACGAACTTACAGGTGGATAATTTTACTACTGCGTTTCGTTTCATGAGTGAGGTAAAGGGGCCCACTTTATTAAAAGTTGGCAACGAATTTGCAACCATATGGGTGGTACTTAACATCAGGTGAACCGCCAGTTCGCTTGCCACCTTCTCACATAAAAAAATAGGCAGGCTTTATAATGACTGCATGCCCCCATAACAAAATATCGTATGACAATATGCTATGGAAATAACTAAGATAAAAAGTTCTAGCTGTCTTTAGAGGAGGAGCCTCTTTCTGCGCTCTGTAATCTAGGTAGAGTCGCGTGAGAAGAGGAGTGCCGTTCACCCTACCCTCCGCGCCGATGCGTGGTGAAGGCGGAGCCACGGATGAGGTCCGCCGCTGGGGGCTGGCAGGCTTGCCCGTACAAAAGGAGCGGAGAGACTGCGATGAATATTCCAGCATGCCTCACATGGAGGCACGGTGAGGTGGCCAGCACTGGCATGGCCACGTAAGTCTGTAAAAGCTTTCCGTAGCCCTGCCCATATGCGCACTGGATGGAACCCGTCCCCCTGCAAGGGTAGGTATTTGCCCCCGTAAACAAAAAAAAGATCTGATCTCAAAATACCTAACGCAACTGATTCTGCTACCTGGCACTGGCGGATTTACAGATTTGGCGCATTGGCTGTTCAATTTTTGTCAGACCTACTGACATTTGATACCCTAGTTCACATTTATTTCAATAAAATTGCAACTTTATGATTTGTGGCCGTACCGGATCGTCTTCAATATGAGGCCTATCAGGTTTTCTCGTTATGAACATGTTTGAACAAGGATTTCGTTGTCAGTTCTAGTCTACTTGTCTAGATTACTTTTTCAACCAACGATTTAGTGAACATTACATGAAAAATAGTTTTTGGGTAGTTTAACGACCCGAATGGCGTAGTGTACCTGCTTCCTACGCCAGAGGGTGTGGGTTCGATCCCCACTACTGGAAAAATATGGTGTTTTTCTAGTGTCTGGGTGTTGTTATATGTATAATATGTATTTATTTTCAAAAGAAAAGTATGTATATCAGTTATCTAGTACCCATAGTACAAGCGTTGTTTAGTTTGGGACTACGGAACGTTGTGTAAAAATGTGTTCTAAAATATTTATTTATTTATTTTCTAAACTGAAAAAGCTCAATCATGTTCTAATTATAAGAGGTGGTAAGGTATGCCTCAAAAAAACTTGAAATTACTTCAGAACAATTCTGTAAGACAAAAGTTTTGGGTCAAAGGAGAATGACCAATTTTGGTACTCGTTTTTCTTTTGCGCCCCGATGAAATTAATATAATTATTATTTTTTTTTCTTTTTAAATATTTTTGAGTAAGCGCTATCATAAGCTACAAACGAATTATTATGATTATATGTCCTTTCACTATAAAGTTCATGTAATCTTCGCCTGCTCTTATGTTTCCGACGATTCCCCATTCATTGAAAGTTAGTTACAGAGCTTTTAGGCTTGACTGTCTTAGAAGTAAATATAGTATTGAATTGATTTTTTTTTTGGAAAAAAGAAAAGATGTTGTTTTTATTATACTACTGAGTTTGAACTTCCTGTGTGAATTAGGGCACCTTTAGAAAAGCCACCCTGTATTAGATTCTGAAGTTAACATATTAATAATTGACTTCTTAATAGGTTCAAAATTTGCATATATATTGTCTATGCATGTTGCCGAAGAAGCCGGCTCAAAAAATAAATTAACAATGTTATAATGAATTTAATAATGATCTGTATCTAATGGTGGTGGTAGAATTAATTTCCAATGTCGATTCACGGGCTGTGAATCGACACTCGAAGTACTTTCAGGGAGTTCCAAAATTTTAAATAAACAAAACATCAGTTTAAGGACAAAAACCTTTTATTTAAATTTCATTGTGCATATTTCGGTAAATGTAAAAAAATATGGCAAAATAAAACATAATCGAGCGTGCAATCTTAAATGAAAAGGAGCGCATCGCCGCGCTACAGCCCTGAGGCACTCACTCCAAAGGGCTCACCGTTATAATAAATTTATACATATTAGCTCTGACAAAAATAACTGTCTTATTTTTTTTAATTTTATTCTTTTCATCGATAAATCTATGAGACGGAAGCCGTTCGTAGACTAGAATGTGTTCCGGGAGGCCCGTGCACGGCTCACGAAAGCGATGCTATATTATAGCTTATACGATTTATGAACAAAACGAGACAAACACGCTCCTCTTCGGAAACCATACACGGCAACTTCCCAAGCAATTAAAATCAGCCTAAAGTGTCGGCGACACCTCGCACGTATCCACCGGCCCTTTATAATTCAATATCATAATACTTAATGCTAGATATTTTCAATTAATTAATCAGTATTTATTTAATTATAACGTACCACTTCACTATTTACTAAGCGGCGAAAGACTAGAGTTTCATAATGGCGTCTACATAACGAATATATATAATTATATCTTACATATCAATTAGTTTCAAAAGGTTTATACATCTGGATTCAAAAGCATAACTATGAAATCAGAGCACTTGCTGCATAAACAAACCTTTTTAGTTAATTTTGTTCGGTATTCATAAAAAAAAAGAGAGCAGTCTCCATTGAACCACGCGATCGATCTTCAAAGGCTTCGATAAAAGTTAAAGCTGTGTACGAAGAAGCACGTTCACTACTTTTTAATAACATGATTATAATAAGTTCCCGTTTTAAGATTAAAACTACGTTCATACATACGGAGTATCACAAAGGGTAACGATTAGTCTCTGATTTATGGCGTGAAATACATTACGACGAGATTATCGAATCAAAGCCATTGGGCACAATCCACGCCGCCGCGACAGGCGACTCCTCGCTCACTTAATGCTCACCAAACGTATTATAAACCATTGCTTAACCTAAACAAGAAAGAAAGTCATAATTTACAAACAGGGTGGATTATATACAGCTTCTTTGCGGCTACAGACGAACAAATCAGATTTTCATAATCGGATAATATTCGACTTGCTTATCACTACAAACCAGATGGAAATCATTATAGCAATGAATGAATAATACCGTGTTGATATATCCAAGAAATTCAATTATATCAGTCATTGCCACAGTGTTATTAAACGTTCCATTTCGTGTTGCACCGATTAACATTTTACATATTAATAGAGGAGCTTTAAGGCCAAATAAATGAGAGCGCCGCGAATCACAATATTAACGAGCAACAACATTTTATTATATAAACCGATAATTCATAATAAGAATAATTCACCATATCCAATTCAAGTATACTTCATTCAATATATCTTAAAGAAAAATAATGATTATTTTCGTCGATCGCTGTATACAGCGTGTCGTTATAAACGCGACTATAAATGAACATACATATAGAGGATAACTTTTTAAAATTGTATTAAACATTTACATTCTTTAAACATCAATATTTACAGAGTTATTAAATTTTCCAAAACAAACAACTTTAAAACACCATTACGTATAAAACAGTAACGTTAATTTCATTTGTAAAAGAAACAAAGCATATGAATGGGTTGAATGAATTTAAGATATAAAACAGAAGGAGAGACTTGTAACTGGACGCTGTGGCAACGAATGAAAGTCTCTGAATTTATGAATCAATCAGGTGTTTTATTTAATTTGTTTGAAACATTTTTTTTATTATGGATTTTTTTATGATTATTGGCATGTAGTGTCAGACGTGCGTTCCTTTATTGTCGCGGTTGTACAGACACGCTGTATAACAAACTTCTCCAGAGACCGTTACTTAAGCTCGCAATTGCATGAACAAAATTCCATCAAAAGAGATCACTGAAACTGTAGAAATATTAAAACATATACGTTATAAGTTTTACGGTCTCTAACATTCGACGCCCTCATTTATTTTCGATAATAAAAAGCATCAACGTTTACAAGATTTCTGAATTAAAAATAAGAGACGCACACTTTTCAGGATATTGTAACAATTAAATATTAAAACATTCAACGACAATAAGATTACATAAAAAATAGCGTTCCTGCACCGTTTCAGTATTTATTTTACAAAGAAGGTTTAGATAATAATTAATAATAAAATAAAGCCCGCTATCTTTATGAGGGACCGCCAATTGAAAAATTGTTGATGGTTTCTGATGGCAAGGCATTCTTCATAAGAGGCGTTTCAGTTATTCACACTATTGTAAGAACTATATGCAGTAAGTTGACACAACATCTTCTCGAATTACGTTTATATCAACAGTTGGAAAGATGGTAAAGTTACGTAAGCGTATCAAAACACATCGATGAGCGATGTGGACTCGTTGCGCACAAACGTTGAACAGGCAGTAATGCGATAAAAATATTAATATTAGCAATCTTTCGACTATTCAATGAAATGACGTATTTCGATCAGCTTACTCTAAAGCGTACGAATCCAAGATTGAAAAGATACTATAGCGGCGAGTAGAGCACCGATTTTCAGCGATTCAGCCTCGTGCACACCTTCTCCGATAGACAGTGGAAGCTGAAACAAGTTTGTCTCGAACAAATTTGTCCAAACCTCAAGGAGCGCTCTATCCGTTCCGCTCCGGTCCAAGTGCTATATCAAATGCGAGTCCTAGCTACGAAGAGATCTAGTTTTATTCACAATAGTCGAGCACCTTCTGGTACGAAATACACTAGAATTTGAAAGCGCTCAAAATATGTAATATCGAGTGAATTCAAAACTGCCACCTGCTCCGAGCGCTCACCTAATTATTCGCTCTGAGTGGTGACGTTGAGCCAAAGAACACATCATGTTAAAATGGAGAGGTCGTGTCATCCGGAGGCATACAAAAATAATTATATATATTTTTGGCTTAATATAAGCAACAATGTAAGATTAACATTGGATACACATGTATTATACAGCATCTCCTGGACACCCCCTTCCCCTTCACCCTCCCCCCGATAACGCACACGCCGACCCCCGCGCCCAGCGCGAGGCACAAACAAAGATATGTACTTGGAAGTGGAACACATCGAACTGTTTTTTTTATCACCTCAATAACATTTTGTACTATAGTGTGATTGGTTTTCTTATTAGGATTTTAGAAAGCAAAAGCTTTAGATTCATAATTCTTTGAAATTGATAGTTTCTATCGACAATTGACATTTGGCATGTGGGTGGGTATGCCGGAGTGTGAGACATGCTTTCTTGGCTCTGCTTTCATTTCTTAATGAATACGGTATAACAATATCTTAAAGTCGTAATATCATGAACGCAGACATTTGCGAAAATATAACATTTTTATAGTATTATTATTCCATGTCCTTCGCAGGCGTGCAATAATTCAACTATCTCTCAGAAAGGATTCTCCGCTGTGACGTCACAGCCGGTGGCCAGCTCCTGCAACGGGACAATTCAACCAAATTAATGTTATTTTTTAAATGAAAATTTTCCTGCAGTTAAGCATCACCATTGCCAGATCCCATGAGCCTTTTGTTTCCTTTTTTGAATATAATGAAATGATTGAAGAAAGTACAATAAATTATATATTAATTATTGCTTTAATTAAGCGGCATTTATATTTTGAATTTGGTTTTAGGCAGCAGTCATATGATTTGTTAAATTTTACATATAGAAGAAGTAAATATTACATATAGCATCTTAAGTTAAATTATGAAAACTAGATATAATAATTTTGATACTACAATTATAATCTGATTATACTTAAATGTCCAAAATGTAAAAATAAATTTCAATAAATGATTTCAGGTGTACTAAACCTGTTATTTTTATTTAACTATTTTTAAAACATTAAATATGTTTTACACAGTTATTAAAAAAATTAGGTATACTTTTTTTAAACTACGATATTGTTTGTTTTTTACATACAACCCTTGAATTAAAAAAAAACAAGTACAGTAATAAAAAAAATATTCAATTTCTGAAAATTCAGAATCAGAATCTAACTCTTTTACATTTACATGAAAACGGTCTAAAAAATTTTCTGCGTAGTCACCTCTTTTTTTTATGTGAGAACCTGGCCATTCGTGCAACAGCGAACACTGTTGCGTGGTCCTATCACCGTGCTTAAAACCTCTGCCATAACTTCTTCATATAATTTTTTACGTCATTAATTTTGAAAGCTTTATTATCAATTGCCACATACCACCACTCTATTGGATTAAGCTAAATGGTAAGGGCAGAAGCATAATGATGTCACCACTGTTCTCTCTAATCATCTCATCTACTGCATGTTTCTTAACAATTTCAATTAATTAAGCTTTTATCATTGTAGATTCGAATATTATTTGCGTTTCTTGTAACCACCCTTGGATGTCGGTCTTTTTCCCTACATCCAGCTGGCATCCGTTCCGCTTTAGCGCGTTATCTATCACCAATACCGTGTACAAGTTTTGGTTAATGTTCGCCAAACACTAAAAACAAAAGCTCTATTCATGTCTTGATCTTAGTAATCTTCATCTTCAAAATAAATCATTTTTTAAGTCGAACAAGGGCAGCCCGCCTTCGTAGATTCCTTCTTCACTACCTGCATGACTAATAATTAATCTTCAGCCTTTTTAATTTAGGTCAGATGGTGCATTCAGCCCAGTTGACAAACTATCAAGAAATGTTTCAACTAATGTCTAAACTACCCGATTTAGTATCAAAGTTTTGTTCAACTTTCCCATGTATCAATGTTCGTTGTTTGAAATTTAAATATTCCCATTAATCAAACAAGTAGAATTTAAATGTTTTAATACTCGTCCCATTGAACTTTTAGACAAATTTGGCAAGTCTGCTAAAGAAAGAATGAGGATTCACTTCTTTTCTTGTTATAACCTCTCACTCAGGACCCTCATTTGTATGGAAAAAATGATGAACAATCTGTCTAACTGCATACGTTGTGAATTCATGTAATTTATTCGTGATGCTAGTCATCGGAGCGGGTTTCTAAGATGAACTAAATTCTCGCTTAGTTTTATTTTATGTGAATGTTATCAAATCTCTATGGTTTATCGATCATGTATCCAAATGACATCATTGTCATTTTGAATTCAATTACTAGTTCAGCAGTTTTTACAATGCAGTCTGTCAAAGACCATACATGTTTTGCCACCTTTAATTTTTTATCTGCTTATGCATTAATTACTATGATTTTTTCCGACGCACTCACGTGTTTACGGGGCCGTTTTCACGGGTGATATATTATTGCCTTCCAAGTCCATTTTCTAACGAACTTCGTACATAATACCTCGAAATCAGGAAATGAATAACAAAATTTTATCGGAATAATTTTAACGGTGGTAGGGCCACGCAGCAGCCTCGGCTGTTGCACGAATGGGCAGGCACGTGCGGGTATGTACCACGAACTCACAGAACACCGGCGTAAAGTGGGAATATGATATTCACTTAACATCAGGTGAACCGTCTGCTTGCTTGGCAACTTTTCACATAAAAAAAATAAATACCTTTAGAAAAAAGAAAAAAAGATAGCTAATTAACAATAAAAAAAGAACTTGCCAACAACATAACTTGATAAACTGGACAATTGATGACTGGAAAATTTTCGTATACTGGGAGGCTTTTCTAAGTGTATCCATTTTTTTTTATTAAATTCTAGACATAAAGTAACAGCCTATACATGTCCCACTGCTGGGCAAAAGCCTCCTCTATACAGAGGGTATCAGGGCATAGTCCACCACGCGGCCCCACTGCGGATTGGCGGACTTCACATATCTTCGAAATAATTTTTTTTTGTTATTGTTTCGAAAATATCCAAGATTCCTCGCGGTGTTTTCCTTCACCGCGGAGCATGTGAGAAGTCAGCACTTAAAGTTAAAAACTTCATTGGTGCCGGCACCGGGGATCGAACTCAGGTTGCTCGAGTATATTGAATTTAAGGCGAGCGCCCGGACACTGAGCTATCACGGCTTACTTAAATTGTAGACATAAATAATGTTTTTTAAAAAATGATAAATATTTTAAATCACTCATAAGTAATTAATTACATTAATTTGAACTTATCTCAAAAAGTGCGGGATTTATACGCAACTCAGTTATTTTACGCGCGATCATTCATAACTAACACGCACACAAATTCGTTTGTGTGCATGAACAGTAAAATTTTGGTATTTATGAATGATTACCGCGTTGTTAACAAGTTCTGTTTTTTAAGGAATAGAATGGTGATTTTTTGAAAAAAAAAATTTATTCCAATAAACGATTATACTACCGAGTCTGAACCTGCTGTGTAAATTTGGGCACCTTTAAAAAAGTCTCTCTGTATATTCAAAATACTGTGTGAAGAAAACATTCGACTTCGAAAAACGAAGTTCGTGACGTCAAGAAAAATGGCGGTAAGTATGAAAAATGTTTTATATCCCGATGGTGTTACAATTGGTCTAAGATCCGGCTGCAGGATTAGTGCGCTCATTGGTTATTTGCTAAAAACCAAATTTAAGTATGTTTATAATTAGGAGTATATATGTATATATAAATTATTTTTAATTGATTTTTCGATAAAAAATTCGTTCACTTGTGTTTTGAAATAAAATGTCGTCTACATCACCGCAACTCATATAAAGATTCTAATTGTTGTATGAAACAAAATAAGCAAAAATAGATATTGCAAGATGAGAATTGTCAGAGGAATGTTTTATCGGATTACAGCTTTATCAAGTACACTATGTAGGAAACTCATTTAAAACGTATTCTGCGCTAATCAACAAAATCAGGCTATAATTGAATAATTGAAATGGATTGGCCACCAAATGTACCACCACAGTGGGTACAGGCACTCGTTGGACACAGAGAAATTTAGGCGCACCTACCTATGGTGCGATGGAGAGCGGGCGGAAGCGGCGCGCGCGCGCGGCGTTGTGGGGGGGCGCGGCGGCGTTGGGGGCGGCGGGGGCGGCGGGGTGGGCGGGGGGCGCGGGCGGCGGCGAGCCCGACGACGAGGAGCCCGACGCGGCCGAGCCCGAGGCGGGCGGCGACGCCAGCAGCAGCGCCGGCACGCCGCGCGCCCCGCTCCTGCTGCGCCATTCGCGTATTGCTCTTTCAGACACGCCCAGGGGCTGGCCAGACGTGGCCTTGCAGACGCGGAAGTACCACCTTTTGCCGGTCTTCCGCGCGGCCGCTCAACAGAGGACGAGACAGCCCATTCGTGCAAAAGCAGAAGGCGCGTGGCCCTGCCTCAGCGAAACACGCAATACAGCATGCATAGCTTGCGACACTTTAACGTTCATTTCGGGCCATAGTGTTACATGATAGACGTATCCAACATACGTTTTCACAAATGCAGAAAGTATGCACAATATACATTTTTAACACATTTAGATAAACATGACGTGAGACTACATTTTGTTTGAAAAAACAGTGCAATTTTTTTGTGTAACATCAAAAACACTGCGCTCTAGCGTGCCTCAAGGTACACATTTTGGACCTCTTCTTTTCGTTACTTTTATAAATGACAATTCCTCCACAATAACTTCCAAATTAAAAATGTCAATTATCTACATAATTTAAAAATTTAAAAATTATCACAATCCAACGACGATATTTTATCTTTACAAAAAGACTTAGCATTTGGCGCGACAGGAAAGATCGAAAGTTTATGTTAAGTAAACAATAAACAACGTTGAATTACTCGAAGTTATACTTTAATAGTTGGCGCATTTAATAAGGATTCTAATTAAAACGTTATTATATTTGCGAGATTATTTGTGTAATTATGAAAAAACATTTTTTGTAAACAAACTAAGTTCGAATGTTTAAACAAACCTTGGGAAAATTGGATGTAAAGTAAGCGTGTCGCACGACGGTGGCAAAGGGCGCGCGCCTCACCTGTTGTGCAGCTGCGGCGGCTGGCGGTGGCGCGGCCGGGCGAAGCGCAGGTTCAGCTCCCGCGCGGGGTCCGCCGCGTACTTCTCGTTGGCGTTCTGCCGCCGCCTGCGGAGCGCTGAATCGGGGACCGCCACCGCGTGTATTAGTAATAGTATTGTGTAGGCTAAGGTCATCATCGGCATAGCATATTCAGGAGGATCATCACCGGGCGTGAGGTCGTTGGGGTCGGGCGTGAGGGGCCCGTCGCCGCTCCACGAGGCGCACTTGGCGAGGCGGCCGGCGCGCGCCTCGCCGCACCCCGCCGCCGCCCCCGCACCCGCCCCCGCCCCCGCCCCCGGCGCGCCCGTCGCCACCGGGATGCGGGACGTGCCGCCCGCGGAGCGCTGCGGTCATTCGTTGTGCAGACATTAACTCATACATTTAATAAATATGGGCGTTACCATAAGTAAGAGATCAAAAGACTACTCACGTCCCGGAGGCTGTGAGCGACGTCGGCGGGGGCGCTCGCGTCGCGCCTCGAACCCGATCCCGATCTGCAAGACCATGAGCTATGTTGACGATACTTACATAATAGTTTTTGTTTAATTTTAATTAACTGTTATCGCGATCTGATACCATTAAAATTATTGAGACAGTGGTAATTAAAAATGATAATGTCTTTACTCCAATCGCTACCTATCCGTTATGGCGTCGAGGCGTGTCCTCTCCATCGCGGGGCTCTGGCTTTTCTCTGCGCTACGAGTCGAAGACCTGCAAGTGAAACGCGTTAATAAATAATGGCTATTCTATTTGTTCGTCTCAAGACTCAATGTTCATTAATTTTACGTGTTTATTACGTGCGTAACTTTAAAAATGAAACAAGACAAACCTTTTATCTCTCTGATGTTCTGTAGCGTCGTAGTAGACCGAAGCCTCCTCGTGATTGAGCCGAAACGGTTCGCCGCCGCTCACCACCGAGTGGATTCTCACTGTCGATGTCCACCAAGAGAATTTATTGTACTTCGTAGATTCAAATGAATTGTTATTAGATTAAGAAAAACAGTCTACTTTTATTTTGAACTTATTGTTGAAGTCATGAAAAGTTTAAAACACCTTTTTCACTGCATCGTCAGATTTGAAGAAAACCTTAAACAGGAAAGAGTTACACCGATTTCGTAAAAATATAAATCGATGTGATGAATATGATCGGTAATGGAGATTTTCAATTCGGAAATTCGTTTTACTGGAGTCCAGTTCGGATCTATTAATAAGTCTTGGATTTTTAACAGCGAGCTTGATAATCATTATTTGCTATTGTTCAAAGTACAGGGCTGGATAAATTTTGTGCCGTCCATGCAGACGGCCGCTGGTAGAATCCTAGCCAAAAGCACTTACAACAAGATTCACACACAATGTCAGGTGGGATAAGAGCAGGAGGTGATGAGTAAAGTGGAAAAAATGAAATACACGGGTCGTAATTTGTAATTCGCGCACCTTGGGCGCCGTCGTGGGGCTCGGTGCGCGCGCGCACGCGGATCTCGAGGCGGCTGGAGACGGTGCGCTCCGCGGCGGAGGGGGGCGCGGAGGGGGGCGCGGGGGAGGGCGAGGGCGCGCCGGGGGAGGGGCCGGCGGCGGCGGCGGCGGCGGGGGCGAGACGGCGCCCCGCAGACGCGCCCGACGCGCCGGACGCACCGGACGCGCTGCCCGACCGCGACACGTCCTGCGCCGTTTAAATCGAGGAGTAATGCACAATCATACACTGTAACACACTGACTAAGTTGGTACTGAACAAACTAATTGGTACTAAAGGCAGATCGCAACAGAAGCGGGCGTCGCACTAGTCAAGCATATTCATAACGCCTGGGAAAGTCACAAGATGCATTTGATGTCTTCTGCGACCTTTCAAAAGCCTTCGACTGCGTAGACCACAAAAACCTCCTTCGCAAGCTAGATTATTATGGCATTCGTGATAGCACCTTCAATCTCATTGCCTCTTACCTTGGTAAGAAATTCAAAAAGTATCTGTCAATGATGTTAATTCCACAGGATTCCCCATGAAAATGGGTGTCCCACAAAGATCAATCTTCGGTCCATTATTATTTCTAGTATATATAAATGATCTCCCCTCTTATGCCAGTGAGTTGTGTGTAGTTGTATTGTTTGCTGACGATACATCGCTCATCTTTAAGGTTGACCGACATTTCAAATTATGACGACGTTAATGGTGCACTTTCGCATATCCTCCACTGGTTTACCATAAATAATATGGCATTAAATGCCAAAAAAACTAAATGTTTTCTTTTTACTCTTCCTAGTGTAAGAAGGCAAAGTTTTAGTTTATTATTAAATAACGTATCCCTTAATCCTGTTGAGTCCGCTGTTTCCTTGGGGATTACAGTAGATTCAAAGCTCTATTAGAGTCCCCATCTATCATCTCTTGCGAGTAGGCTAAGCTCCGCTGTTTTTGCGATTAGGAAGGTTAGACAGCTAACAGACATCGACACTGCCAGACTTGTTTACTTTAGCTATTTTCACAGCATTTCCTTATCGTACTGCATTTTGTTTGTAGTGCATCTGATATAAATTCTTTATTTATTCTTTAAAAAAGAGCTGTTCGAACAATCTATAACATCGGAGCCCGGAATACACTCAGAGATCTTTTTTAAAGAGATTAATATACTCACTGTTGCGTCCCAATATATTTATTGTAATGTATAAATTTTGTATGTAAGACAATCTTAATTGTTGTTATATAAAGAATAGTGACAGACATAAATTAAATACTAGAAATAAGAAAAAAATAAATGAAAGGTACTTGAGTACCGACCGGCAAGCTGGAGGCCCTGGGCGGCTCCGGCGGCGGCTCCGGGCCGTGGCCGCGCGCCGCCACGCCGCGCATCACGTCGAGGCTGTAGCGCAGCGCGCCCTCCGGCCCGCCCTCCGGCCCGCCCGCGCCGCCGTCGAACGACGCCTGCTGCAGCAGCGGCGGCCGCAGCGCGCGCACCCGCGTCCCTGCACAGAACCGCCCTCGCCTCACTCTCACGCTCCGCCTCCGCCTCGCCCCTCCGCCCTCCGGCCACCACCACCCGTCACCCGTCTCGCTCTCACCGATCGCCGGCAGGCTCCAGCTGCGCGGCAGCACGGGCTGCAGCCGCGGGAACGCCTCGATGCCGGCGCTGTGCAGGCAGCACCGCACCTTGGCCCCCTTCTCGCTGACCGGCTGCTCCGCCTTAGGCGCGCCCTCCGTCGTCTCCGCATTATTAACCACCTCCACCTACTTGCAAGGTGCTTTTATCTAAAAAGCTTTCTAGTTCTAGTCTTAAAACCTTAATTATATAGTTAGATATATAGTTTTTTAAAAAGATCTCGGAAAAGATTTTGTGGTGTTCTTCTCTGAGACTGAATTAGAATGTGTCCTTGTAGGAGGAATATAGTAGTGTCGTGACCTGATTTGCGAGCTGCTGGTGGTGGGGCTCGTGAGGGGGCGTGGGCGCGGGCGCGGGCTGCTGCTGCGTGGGCGGCGTGGGCTGCGAGGGCTGCGTGTGCTGCGTGTGCTGCGTGTGCGTGGCGGGCAGCTGCGTGCGCGCCGCGTTGGAGCCGCTCGACACGGCGCTGGCGCCGCGCGCGCCGCGGTGCTCCGGCGACTGCGCGACACGACACTTATCTCTCACGGCGCACGTCTCCTCAAAACGTGCTCCACTGAGACTCGGGCTATCATTAAATACCTGCAGCTGCTCTTGTTTCCATTCGTTGTCGGTTGTCTCTTCGGAGTCGTCGAACTGCGACTTCCACAGGGAGACCAGTGTGAGGGCACCGCCTTTCGTCACCTAAAGTCCAAATAATGGAGTTAATTTTGAGTGTAAATGAAAACTTGCAGTACCTAAATAATAATTACCTCATTGGAAATAAATAAATGCGGGATATTTTATGTATGAACATCCACACCACATGTACCTACTACATCAAATAAGGTTAAAATGATAATAATGTAAACTCTCTTGTCTCTCAAATCGTAAAGGGTTGCGTTAATCGACCTGCTGTAACGCCGAGACGTTCTCATCATCCATGACGGCGAATTGCGTGAAGCTCTGGTCTGCGCGCGCCCTCGCCGCTCGCCTGCCGCCTGCAGAAGGGGAGCACGCCCACTTTAAAACCGAATGTGGCCCAACTTCCACATTTTAATTTCATCATCAAATTGTCGTTGTTGTGTTTATAAATTTTCTTTCTACAAGAATACGTTTGCATTCTGCGGACTATACAGGGAGGCTTTTCTAAGTGTTTTAAGGCTTTTTTTTATTTATAAAATTCTAGACATAAATAATGTTAGATAAAAATTGATAAATATTTAAAATCACTCGTAATTTTTTTATTACATTTATTTCAAATTTCAAAAAGTGCGTGATTTATGGGCAGCTCATTTATTTTACGCGCGATCATTCATAATTAACACGTACACAAATTCGTTTCAAAAGTATACGACTTATTTATGTAGGACTACCGCATTGTCAACAAGTTCTGTTTTTTAGGGAATAGAAAGACAGGTTGTTTTGAAAAAAAAAAATTTTGTTTTTAATTCAATAAACGATTATACTACCGAATTTGAACCTCCTGTGTGAATTTGGGCACCTTTAAAAAAGCCAACCTGTATAGTCTAACGAACCAGTCCACGTCAATTGCCGTTCTGGTAGCCTTTGTTTTATACAAGAAATCATAGTTCGTACCGAACTTCATGGGTCCGTAGGTGACATTCCTCCGCTTGATGATGCACGCATAAACCTTTACTTAGCCAATGCGGAGGGCCGCCTCACGACTTCTGGGTCGGATGACGCTTTAGGCGGTAAGTAGTAACGTAGTCGGAGGGCTCACCTCTCTTGAAGTGCGTGTCGGAGTGCACGCTGTCCACGTCGGCCACGATGCGCGGGCTGAGGGCCTCGCCTGCAAGCGAAGAGGGCGAGTGAGGGACGGGGCTGGCGGGGGCGGCGGGGGCGGCGGGGCGCGAGCGGGGCCGACCTGCGAGCGCGGGCGAGTGGGCGTGGGCCGCGTGTGCGGCGTGCGGCGCGTGGGCCAGCTCCTGCACGCAGGTGGGCGGCGCGGTGAGCACGCGCAGGCGCGCCAGCGTGGGCCCGGGGGCGGCGAGCGGCGGCGCGCGCGGCCGGCTCGGCGGCACGCTCTGGCGCTCGGGGCGCGCGGCCTGGCTGCCGCTGGCCAGGCTGCCGCCGCCCTCCGGCGCCGCGCACGCCTCTTGCACCACCTGCGCACCGCGCGCTTTACCTTCGTGAACGAAGAAGACCACCATTGCGGTCGCACTCTCGCCCAATGGAACGGAAACTTTCCTTTCAATCACGCACCGATAAATATCATGCTATTTCCAGTTTCAAACAATTATAAAATCGGACAAAGAACTCCTCTGTACAAAGGGTTTAAGAAGTAACACGCGAACCAATTGTTAAATGGATGAATTTCACATTCTAGTCACAATATTTCCTATAATTATTTAGAAAGAATTTAAATTACCTCATAATGTCTTCCTTCAGCGCCGAGTACGTTACAAGTTTCGACTAACAACTTCATAGATGCCCGTACGTAATAAATATTATGATTGTTAAGTAAAAAAGAGGCCTTATGGAACCCAGTTAGGAATATTGTAACATTATATAGATGTCGAATTCACAAGCGCGCGTGAACCTTTATGGCGGTCCCATTTGCAAAATGGAGGGAGCCTATTCCCATTAGAGGCCGCAACGCATTACCGACTCCTCCGGTGGCGCTAGGCCCGCCTCCGGTTCCGCGAGAGGAAGTGGCAGTGAGAAACCTTGTGCGGGTGTCGGTCGGGCGAGGGCGAGGGGGCGGCGCCGCTGCGCGCCTCGGCCTCCTTCTCCGGCGTCGCCTTCTCCGCGGCCGACTGCAACACACGCGCACGCGTCAGAAACCTCACCCGGGGCCGAGCGACGCGCGACGAACAAGCTACAACGCACGTATCCGTTCACGTGGGCGGGCGGCGCGTGCGCGTGCGCGTGGGCGTGGGCGTGGCGCGGCGAGGCGGGCTGCGCGCGCTTCTCCTTGTGCGTGTGCGTGTGCGTGTCCGTCGCCACGGCCGCCGTCGCCTCCGTCTCGAGCCGGCGCCGCGCCTGAAACGGGCGACCCGCTCAGTGAGCTCATGCGACGGCGAGGCGAGGGGCGGCGAGCAGCGACGAGGGCGGGCGCTCACCCGGTCGGGCGCGGGCTCCGGCTCCGCGGCGGGCTCGGGCGGCGCCAGCGCGGCGCGCGCGCGGGCCCCCGCCGCCACGGCCTGCAACGCGCGAGAGGGGGCGTGAGGCGGGGGGCGTGAGCCGGGGGGCGTGGGCCGGGGGGCGTGGGCCGGGGGGCGTGGGCCGGGGGGCGTGGGCCGGGGGGCGAGGGGGCGACGGGGCGGCGGCACTCACGTCCTTCTCCCAGTCGTAGGGGTCGGCGTCTCGGATGCCGCGCCGCTTGCAGCAGCGCTCGAGCAGCGAGGTGAGCATGCCGTAGTCGGGCGTGTCGGCGTACTCCAGCTGCTGCACGTGCTCCAGGAACTGGCGCAGCTCCGACGGCAGGTGCTTCAGCAGCAGCCGGTGGTCGTACTTCTCCTTCATCAGCCCCACCTGCCAAAGATCATATGCGCACCTATGTACTATTACCTTCGACAAAGCGATACATTTAATCGGATTGAAATGACAAGATACACCTTATATTTTACCAAATATATAGACAGGGCGCTTGAACTCTAGACCCACCTGCTCCTTGTCCTTGATCTTGCGCCACGGCAGCTGCCCGTTGACGAACTCCACCAGCATGTAGAAGAGCGACCAGAGGTCGTCGTGGCGCCCCATCTCCTTGTTCTTGTGCGCGTTGATCGACGCGTACCGCACCGTGCCTGTCGACGGCGCTCATCTTTACGGATCGTCACCGAAGTTAATAAAGCAATTGGCTACGACTGGTTAGTTAATCAGTCCGATAGTTGAGAACAGAGAAGGCCTGTCATCCATATGCGAGCAACGTACCCCTGAAGCCGGCGGCGGCGCGCGGCGGGCGCACCTGCCCGTTGCTGGTGGTGTACTGGCGCGCCAGCCCGAAGTCCAGCATGTACACGCGCCGGCAGTTGGACGGGTGCCGCCCGATGCTGAAGTTGCTCTGCGCACAAACGGCACGCTTACTCGCCAGCTCTAAGCGCCATGGCCACGCACGCCCCACAGAAACTTTACCAACAAACTTATCCACGTAGACAAATTGACACAGAGTAGGATGCGGCAAATAAAACAAAAAGACCAAGTTGACAAGCGTATTTGATTTCAGAAATGCAATGTAGATAAAGACTTAAATAGTAATACATATAACGAAATGCTTACTGGTTTAATATCTCTGTGCAAAAATCCCACCGAATGTATTGAGTCTATTGCTTTTAATATTTGCAAACCCAACCTGAAACAAAAATATTGTTATGTAATACAAACAAAAAAGCACACACTTGTCCATCAACGTTTCAGCAAAGTTTTTTGATCTTCACGCGCTCATGCCCTTCCAAATTCGTACACCCATCATCCAAGTTGATCAGCGACTTTGATCACTAGTATTATAGTACTCCGGATAACTTTATATGGCATAGTGAGCATTAGTTTATTTAATTTATTAGGCTAGGCACAAACATTTGCGTGAAGTAGAGAGTGGGTCTCACCGCAGCGTGGTGGAGAGCGAGAAGGCGCCCCTGGGCTGCGCCCTCCTCAGCTCCGCCAGGTTCCTGCCCTGCAGCTGCATCACCACGTAGTTGAAGCGCGCGTTGCGCCCGCACCCGATGAAGCGGCACACGTGCTCCTTGCCTGCCCACCACAACCACCACCGCACGCAGCAATAAGCAAATGGGACATGGCAAGGCGACGTGTAATAAATTAAACCTCTACATTTACTTCTCTTGGCTCACCTTGAAGCTTCTTCAACACGGCCACCTCCATCTTCAGAACCTGCTTCGGCTGACGGGCGGACTCCACCTTGAGCGCCACCTGCTCCTGAGTCACCAGATCCAGGCCTTCGTAGATCTCACCGAAGCCGCCGCCTCCGATCTTCTTGACCACCTGCAAATGAAGGTTTTGCCATCAATTAGGCTGTGTACGAACCTACGAACGTCTTAGGGAGCCGTTCGATCCACCCTACCTTCCAGCGCTCCTTGACCACGTGGCCCGGCTGCAGCAGGTCCTCGGAGGCCATGGTGATGTGGTGGGCGCGCCGCGACGTGTCGCAGCGAGACGCCTCGCGCGACCGGTTGCCCCCGAAGTTGGGGAGGGTGCGCGACCTTCGGTTTCGACAAATAAGAGCCTTTCAATGTGCAACGTTCAATGACAAAGAGCTCGTGTATTATATTGAATATAAACTTCACATTTTCCAACGACCGAGCGATATTTCCAAGGTCCTCCCTCACCCCGCGTCCCCCTTTCTTTCGCCCGCGTAGCTCTCAACCGACAAATTTACAGTGGCATCTTATTTAAAAAAATTCTTAATATTTAAAGTGGAAAGAATCACTCCAACTTCATTACTTCATTCAACTTAATTTCATATATTACATCCTTTATGTTTAGTAGTTTTCTTTTTCGCTGAGCAATTAGCAAATTGGTATTGAAACTCCAACCAGCAACTACTTAAAGCATTCTTTTATCTGTGGGCCACAATCAAGAAGAAAACCGGCGTAAAGTGAAAGTTACCCTTCTGCATTTTTATCTGGTGAGTGAGGTAGCCGGGGCACACTTTATTAAATGGTAGTAACACATATACAACCGTTCGGGTCATTCTAAAGTCCATGCCGATGTGAAGTGATAACCAGGTTATCACTTTACATCAGGAGGCAAGTGAACCGCCAGATCGCTTGCTATCTTCTCACATAAAAAGTAGGTATGTATGCAAGTAAGAAGTTATACTTCTTTATCGTAAAGACAGTTGATAACGGTTTATTTATTTTATAATCAGGAATTATTGACATATATATCAAAAAGTTGTAATTGGTTGGTCGGTGGGCGCGCGCATCCTAAAAATTTAACTCTTATATTTTTTCCAAAGGCGGCAAAAGAAACTTCAAAGGGTGGGTGACATTACATAAATTATATTACGGAGTATTTGGCTCGAATGGTAATAGTATAAACACACATAATGCTCACCTCAATAACGGGTTGGGCTGCACTCGAGTGGCGCTGGCGGCCTCCTCGCGCCGCTCCACCCTCTGCGACGTTTCACACAACGTTAACGTTAACTTTGGCACTTGTCCAACTATGATGATCATATCATGTCGTAACTAATTAAAGAAAAGGCCTCCTCTTTAGGGAGGGTTAGGGCATATTCCAATACGCGGCCCCACTGCGACTTGACATATTTTCGAAATATTTTTTTGTTATCATTTCAAAAGTATGCAGATTTCTTCACGAGGTTCACCGCTGAACATATGATAAGTTAGCACTTAAAATTAACAATTTCATTGATGCTGGCACCGGGGATGGAACTCGGGTTGCTCGAGTATATTGAAATAAAGGCGAGCGCCCGGACACTGAGCTATCCCGGCTCACCAATCGTAACATTTCATCATAAACAACAACTCCGCAAAGCAAGAACCGGTCACAACCGACCCAATACTTTAGCTACTGCGATACCATCCAATAGCCAGGGTCCGCCTTCGAAACGGAGCATAATTGACAAGCAGCTATTTAGCGTAGAGATAAGGAGACAAGTGCGAGGCTGTCACGGGCGGCCGGTCGGCCGGTCGCCTTCCGCACGGCCAAGGCCGCGGGCTGCGCTTCGGTACAACCATAGACTGCGCACTCCTCAGTAACATTGGTGAAGCGTTTTATGATTGTATTAAAGTTCGATGTCTCTCTCCTACCCTTACCCCTACCCTCCTAGGTGGGGTCGGCACGTGAGAATTGCGTTGTGAATGGTATTGGCTATTAAGGTACGATATACGTACTTTTGTAAGGTTCGTACAAAAGAATACGGTACGTACATAAGTATTAGCATTTTATTATAATACAATGCTTTGTAAGATTACAAGAGATATTAAATATATTTGTGTACTTTTATAAAAAGTGTTCAGAGAGTACCACCTTGACATTTTAGTGTTGGCATATCCACCATCAATGGAACTATATCAGTCGGTGGCTTGCAAATGCCAACGTTAACAACTTTGTGTATCAAAATTACGAGAGAATAAAAACTATGTATTTATATGTGTAATACGCATATTGTTACGGCTTTTAGTAAGTAACCCATCCAACAAATTCAATTATACAAGTTGTGTCAACAAATTTAGGAATATACATATAGATTTAAGTTTGATTAATTTTATTTATATATCTAATTAGTTATATTATATATCTACATATATTCATTATGCTTTAAGTTCTTATGTTCATTTCATTATGTCAATTATGTTCGTTCGTTTTAATATAATGAAATAAGTTAAAACGGACGAATGATTAGAACCTAAAACTTTAATCACCAGTCAACACCTCCGTCAGCAATGTAACATCAAAACAATTTTTTCCTGTACACCGTTAGATGGAGCTAGGACATAACAAACAGACGTTCTAAGCTCCAGAACCATTAGCAACATGAAAGACCTTTTGACTACAAGCAAACATTTCAGTGCTGTATCATAAAAGAGTGCCAGTGGCACGTCACCGCCTTAAAACACGGATCCTAGAATTATGTGTTACATTGGATAAACTAAAAGAAATATATGTAAATGTGGAGGAGACGTAATTATGTTCCATCTTTCTAGAAATCCGAAATGAAAACTATAATACTAGATGTTCTGAATCGTGCTCATAAATAACTGAAAGAAATGAAATCGTTTCTTACGACCTTACTTAAACAATACGCATTTATGCAAATTTTCAATAGGCGCTTAGCAGTTTCAATAGAATTCATTAGGGAGTGCGGAGATGAAAAGGCCTGTAGCGTGCCTACGTACGAGAATATAGGCAGGGCACAGCAACAGTACGCGGAGGCTGAGGCGGCTGTGTCTGATATTGATCTTTGTATCTCGGGCAGTGCGGTGGCAAGGTCGTCACTTACAATGCCGATCGTTGCCAGCTTGCTTTATTCGTGGCTTTCTTTCGGCATAGTCTAACTAGGTAAATAAATGCCTATCGAAAATCGAGGACGGGCGGCATATTGACTACGGTGCCGAAGTACCTTTTGTGAGTATTGCTTTGATAGATATATTATTTTGAATTAGACGATTTTAGCGCGATGATACCACTATATGTAGGTATGAGAGGAAAATTGTATTATTAATTTGGGACATAAAATATATTTTTCGGGACATATTTTTACACATTGGTATTTAGTCCCAAACTAAGCAATGATTGCTCATCACACAATATTTTGCCAGTAGTGGGGGATTTAACCCCTCTGGCACAAGAGGCAGGTTTGCTATCCACTATGACAATTGGGTTGTCAATAAAAACATTCGTAAAACACAAACAAACGCAATGCATCCCTCCCTGGGGTGCCGGGAAGGACCGATCGGTGCGCGGTACTGTCCAATGCCAATTGCATCACGCTACACTACTGGAGTCGTCGAATTGTGTTGCCGCAAGCAAAGGCCTGGGGCGAACAAAAACTAGGTGTGGCGTATTAAACCAATAATATAAGAGGAGTTGATAAATAGATCCAATTTTTGTTGCAGAGACAACATTTCGGCGCATATGAATAACTTCGCGGCCTACACGGAGTTGTTATGGCACTTACAGTGGACAGGCATTGCATGATTTGCAGGACGGTTTGTTCCATTGACTTCATCGCGGCAACTGGCAAGTGACACGCTGTGCTAATTAGCGCTTGGGCGCGACTCCGCACCATGTGTGGAAACTGGTCAGTGGGGACTTGTCGTCGCCTTTTGATTGTATCGCTCTTAACGCCAATAGCGATCGTAAATTAAAGTATTCCGGCCGACTTAAACGCCCTTCGCCCGTGCTTAAGTCTGTCATCCCATCGTCTGTAGCCTCCTCTTCGGGAGCGTAATTTTATTTAACAATACACACACACATTTTTCTTGAACTTTTACTGTGCTATAAAACGCTTCCCAGTATGAAAACGTGCAAAAAGTTATATTACCTTGCTCAAAATCTTTCTTTTTGAGTATAAAAGTGGAGTATTGTTACACGCAATTTAATGATAAATCTGAAACTTGAAGACGTAGCGAGGTGCGCCCAATTAGCGGCTACGCAAATATGGTGCGCTTTCCCAACCGAAGCGAGTGTGTGCTCGCTTAGGGAAATCAATTTTCCGGTTTTAGAGCAAACACGTTGGCGGACTCGTTTGCAATTTTCAAGGAGTAGGAAACATTCCCCGAGGCCTCCTTCCATCTAAACGTGTAAATATACCATTGACTAGCGAGACCACGTCAAATTCAAAAGTCAAAAATCGTTAGATGCAATGACGGTCGTGGCATTGCTGAAATCAATGTCACTACGTGCGGATTGCACCTTCAGTTTTCTGATTTTCCAATTTCTAACATTATTATCGGTCTATTTAGTCTAATCGAAGCTATCTCTGTCGATTCCGCCATTGTTCAAATGAACGAGTGAGACGCAAGATCAGCCAAGCTACATATGACATTAGCGGCGATATAAATGCGTCGATCCCCTCGACCAGGACCCACCTGGAGCTCATGGCGTCGCGTGCGCTGCTGCTGCTGCTGAGCCTGGGGCGGCGAGGCGGGCCCGGAGCCCTGCGACTCGGTGTCCGCCGACGACGTCGACGAGGATGACTCTGCCCGGCACGAGCGCATATTTATTGTTACATCTTGCACCGATGGCTCCTACTCAATTGCACATGCGCTGCTAGGTTTTTAATGTATGGGCCAGCCGCTTAACCGACTCCAAAGTAATACTTCTCCGGTCTATCTTGCCCAGCCATGCAATAACCTTACGAATAACGTCATTTTTTTCAAGTCATTTACAATAACACAAATAAATACCTGAGAGCTGTTTGATGGTATTATAAATGATACCGCGGCCTTGTGTCGGCAGACAATCCAGACCGGGGAAACCCAATCGGAATTAGCGAAGCGCCTTCCTGGGCACAAAGCCAGGTAGGTGCTCGCGCACACTCAAATTCAATTATGGGCTTTATGTAGTTTCCGTGGATGATGGAGATCTTCTTATTACATTTACGTATGTATACCTAGACACTTGTGATAATCATCATCATCATCATCAGCCGGAAGACTTCTTCTGTTGAACAAAGGCCCTCAAAGTGCCACTTTACTATAAGCATCCACCGGTTGCCCGCAATTCTCTTACAATGTTGGGGTCTACTTTGGTAAGACTAGGGAAAATTAATTATACTTGAATTCCAATCGGCCGATTAGGTTGCTGCTGAACAGGTTGCCATCAATTTTAATAGGCCCTAGTTACTATTCCACATGAAAAATCATTTAATTAATAAACCTAATATTCTTTGAAACATAACTGGCACCTTAGGATAATATTTTCTATGTACACCATATGTAAAATGTTATGCTATAGTAGAACTATCCATATACATAGACGTTTTTATATTAAATAATAAACACTTATACAAAAAGTGAACCGAAAATTAACTGTGTACAACAAGGAATTGTTATAGATCTGGATCCAGAACAACACTTTGTTGGTTACACAAACATTTGCTATGGCAAGTTAATTTTAAAAATATTATCCAAGTCACCTGATCTCCGCGAGGCGTGCGGTGCCAACTGTTTCAGAGAGGACTCCCTGTCGCACGAGGGCTCCTGCTCCCTGCAATGGACACGACAAATATATAAAAAATAAACAAATTATCAGCTTTACCGCCTTAACTATAATATCTGCCATTATAGGGATAGCTATCGCCTATATATAGCCATTTGGATTTGAATTTTCAACCTTGAGAAAGCAAGTCCGGTATCGACTGTATGAAAACACAAAAGTTGACATTCGAAGATTTTGCTAAAAAGTTAAAGGAAGGTTCCTAAAAACTAGGTTTAGTACATTTTAAGGACGCGTTTACGAATTCACGCGCTTCAATTTTAGGTACAGAGGCGTACTACTACACGTGCACGGCTCACGCACACAGCGACAAGCGCGAAGCAGCGAAACTTTATGTAACTGACGCAACTTGATACTTTTATTTAATTTGAAGTCATTTATTTTTTAAGCTTACGTTAAATTTGTTTTCAACATGTTTTTAAACTGAATATTTTTTTATATATTTAGGTATAATTTATTAAATTTCATTTAAAAGCTCGTAGCTGTTGATAATTTGCGTTTTAATTAATTATGTATATAATTTAATTTTATGTTTTAATTAATTTTTATGAAGTAAATAAAGCTTGTTTTATACATGTTTGATTATGCGTGCGGTAGGTAGATAGCTTGATAGGTAGGTAATGATAGGGTACGTAGGAAGGTAGCTATGTAGGCAGATAATTAGGTAAAACCCGCTAACGAATTGAGTAAAATACTTTGTATGGTATTCTGAATGCATTTTGCTGATTCAATAATATTCATGCTAAATGTTAAAAAAAATAATTTTCTGTAAATGAATTGGAAATAGCATGGCGTACGAAGCCGGGCTAGTATCTAGAAACTAAAAATGAAATAATAAAACGAAGGAAACAAACTAGTAAAAATTAAAAAACATTTTTATAAAAAAAAAACCTGTCGCACTCGGCTCAGCTGGGGTAAATCTATAGCATAGCATCTTTTATCAACTTATGCGATTATAATTATTTAATTATGCAGTATTTTTTTCTTTGATATTTATATTTATGTTAATAAATAATAATATTTTAATAATATAATAATTAATATATATTATAAAATAATATATAATTAATTTATATTATTTACAAAAATGATAAGAACTACTAAGTCAGTCACTAAGCTCTGGATAGTTAAATTACAATATACTAATGAATGGAATGTCCGAATTTAATCGTTCAAAAAGTTATATAAAGATATTGAAACAGTCTTAAATATAAAGTAATTTATTTTTATAAGAATTAATACCAAGATACAAATAAAGAGCCTTTTCTAGCGGCGGCATTTCAATCAAAATTTTAAGGTAAAAGAATACTTATTGTGGCATAACTATAATAGTTAGACATATATTGTCGCAACACTTTTTATAAATAATGATGTGTTCTGCAAATTCGTAGTACATTATTTTATACAATTATCAATAGTTTTAGCAGCGCACGCGATGCAAACAATATTTTAGGTAATTTTTGTACACTTTGGTTTACATTATTCAAGTTTTAGTAAGGATTCCTAGTTTTTTGAAAATTTAATATATCCTATGTCATCCGGGGATAATGTAGCTTCGAGACAGTGAAAGAAATTTTCAAATCTGTTCAGTGGTTTAGGAGCCTATTCAATGCATAAAAAAACAATCAAATCTTTCCTCTTGCGTGGTAGGCGGAGTGGGTGGTGTTAGGTTTTATTTTCGTTACGGAATTTATTGATTCGTTCGCCGCGCTCAAAGCCCGCGATAAAAGCTGTGCAATAGCTTAAAAAAATATTGTTTCATTTTTAATTTGACTCTTCCATGCTCTTCGCAGAACTGTCGCTATGTCGATCCTGGGTGGAGCCAGCCCGCGAGGCCAATTTATACCTCCGACACGAGGTTCTGGCTCCGCCTTTTGATGTTCACTCTAGGGATAGGGAAGACCACACGGAGTCGGGGTGCTCTGTGTCGGATCTTTGTGATTTTTCTTTATAGTTCTCTATCATTTCATTATTTTTGTTATCTATATCGAAGTAGTAGCCTGCTAAAATTTTATCGTTTTAGGTTTTGGCATCTGAAACAACAATTGAGTTATAAGAGGTATAAATGTTGTATGTGATAACTGTGCCATAAAAATAAGTCTTTGATAATTTAAGTTGAGACCCACTACATTTTTACATAACTATTTTTTTTTCCGTGTTTTGCCTATTTTAAAGACGTTCTTACTTATTTTAAATTAAGTATTATTTTAGGCAGAATCCATGATCATAAAAGTTGATCAGTGCGAAACACGACAAAACAATAAACGATAAATGGGGTCATAAACGTGAAACAAAAGTTTGCCACATAGCTGTCGTTCGAAACTTTTGAAGTACATGTTTATTACACCTACTCATTGAAACATACAAAAAAATGACCTTTTAGACATGCCTAATCTTACAATTTGCACGTGTGCAAATTTGTTTTGTATTACTTGTATTTTTAAGTATCCATACAACTTTTCTACATGTGGTGTACTTTTGGCCAACATTTGGCTGCATGGAAATAAGAATTTATAATAAAATACCAGATAGTTTCATAGGCCTCCCGGAGTATTTAAATTTAAACGAAAATTCTAAAATCTGTACACTGTCAAATAAGACATTTAAAATATTTAATCATGTCTAAGTAATGTACAATGTTTATATTAAAAATTCATTACTTTGACTTGTGATTTACTTTGACTTATATTTATACTCTATTGACTCATAATTATAATCTAAATTTCAATTTTTTTTATGTTAACATGTTTCACAAATATTTATACACAGAATTGATGTAGAATAGTTCCATATTTTAAATAACTTTTTTACTGTATTCTTACACCTTCATGCCAATACATCAATTTCAAAGGTAAGGTCTCAAAAAAACTCACAAAACAAGCCCAAACTCGACACACATAGCTCATCTCGTCTGTTAGTTCCAGTAGCAGTCTCGAAGTACACCTTCAGGTCACTCCATCTATTCAGAAGGCAAGATCTCACCATACCTAACAAAACAAGCCCAAACTCGACACACATAGCTCATCTCGTCTGTTAGTTCCAGTAGCAGTTCTCAAAGTACACCTTCAGGTCACTCCATCTAGTCAGAAGGCAAGGTCTCACCATACCTAACAAAACAAGCCCAAACTCGACACACATAGCTCATCTCGTCTTTTAGTTCCAGTAGCAGTTCTCGAAGTACACCTTCAGGTCACTCCAACAAATCAGAAGGCAAGGTCTCACCATACCTAATAAAACAAGCCCAAATTCGACACACATAGCTCATCTCGTCTGTTAGTTCCAGTAGCAGTTCTCAAAGTACACCTTCAGGTCACTCCATCTAGTCAGAAGGCAAGGTCTCACCATACCTAACAAAACAAGCCCAAACTCGACACACAGAGCTCATCTCGTCTGTTAGTTCCAGTAGCAGTTCTCGAAGTACACCTTCAGGTTAGCAGTCGAAGTACACTCCAACAAATCAGAAGGCAAGGTCTCACCATACCTAATAAAACAAGCCCAAATCGACACACATAGCTCATCTCGTCTGTTAGTTCCAGTAGCAGTTCTCAAAGTACACCTTCAGGTCACTCCATCTAGTCAGAAGGCAAGGTCTCACCATACCTAACAAAACAAGCCCAAATTCGACACACATACCTCCTCTCATCTCGTCTGTTAGTTCCAGTAGCAGTTCTCGAAGTCTGTTACACCTCGAAGTCAGGTCACTCCATCAAGTCCGTAACGAAATATGAATTTTTAACCCGTACTAATTTCTAGTAAAAATATGACAAAGTGTGAATTATAGTTTACTTTTGTCGTTCGTAGTCCGAAGTCCGAACATGATGTGTAAAGTATCAACTTTGTTACGACAAATATTTTGTATTCGTACAGCGATCTTTTTCCTCACGAGCTGCTGTTTATAAGCGACATAGTGACCACTCATGACGGCAGCCGAGCGCCGACTAATATTACCTTAAATATTTTTGTGGAATAAATCAAAAAAGTGACCAGTAAAATAACCTTTATGTCAATCACTTAAGATTCACGCGTAAGATATAAATGTGAAAGAAATAGATTTTAATGTTTATTTTTTTCTGAAACTAATTTCAACAATTTTGATACGTAATGTAGCTACCTTTTTGAGTTGAACATGTGTGCTTACATAAAGTATTTTTAAATAAAAAAAATATGTTATTAAATAAGAGAAAAATGTTCCTAAACCCAACAGGATATCGTCCATTTTGAGTGAAGTGGTCACGAAAATTCTCATTTACAATATTATAAACCAAAATTTTCGATTAAAAACTATCTACCATTTGAAGATGAAGGAGGGATCTATATGTGATAATTATTACTTACATTATATTCGTTTCGTTTTGCCGCAAAATGTACCTGAAAACCCCCTATTTTTGCAGATTCCGCGAGATTTCGCAAACACGCCCTTAAGACGAGGACTCTATTTTTATGGAGAATATATATTGCTACAAGTTTTAATATAGTTGAAGTATTTTCTACAAGCATGGATTATGAACTTTTAGCATCCTTCATGAAGCAGAAGATAACAATTATAAAATATACCAGTTGACACGTGCGAAATGTTCACGCAGTACCGTTTTCAGTCACCGAACGGGTGGTATTGTGTAAATAAGTATAACATTTGAAAAATAACGAGAAATTTCGGGTACTTCACTAATAGGGTCGCCAACTGTTTAAGAAAAATAAAGTATCTCATTTTCAATTAAAGAAAAAATAAAGTGTAAACGAGCGATAATAACACTACCAGTAGTAACATGACTATAAAAGCGTGGTTGCGACCATTTTTAGTAAAACGCTACGGTATGTAATTAGTAAGTTCTAATATTAGTGGTTTTTTAAAGTTTAATTATATTTGCATTATGATTAATTCAGAACTTATCGAACTAAAATGATGACTAACTTATATATAATATACGTATACAAACAAAGGTAAGACGTTAAGGACTAATATATGTTTCACCGGAGATTTAAAGCACCAC